CCATGTCTGACTGGATTTGTGCTGGAATAGCGGCATTTTTGATTGCAGGGCCAACCCAGATGTCAGTTGCTCCTTTGTGTTCGAACTCGCTCGCGCCAAGCTGGACTATCTCTGCTCCTGATACCAATGACAATACGACGTTCGTTGGAAAGCGCTGCTCGAGATATGATTCGACTCCGATACTATGTGTCGTGTTCATAAGGATGCAGGTGTGTTGTGGAGAGACGACCGACTCGATGATGTTGGCAATATCGTATACATCAGGGAGTGCTTTGACGCAGAGTAGGACGTAGTCGAAGGGCTGCTTGGAGGAATGTGCGGCATCTTCAGGTGTGCGGACGACTGCACAGTGTTAAAGAGAGTTGACAATGGGAAGGTGTGGGGGGACATACCAGCATAGGGCTTGAACCGCTCGTTGCCGTAAAGTGCAGATCTATGCAGTTGTCAGCATTTCCAAAGTATGCTTTATTTTGTGCTGCTGACTTGAATGAGATGCCGTATTGAGCTACGTTCTCGTAGCCCGACTTCCAGACAAGGGTGACGTCGCAGGCATTCGTTGCCTGTAACCGCCATGATAAAAAGGCAGAGACGGCGTTACCGCCCACTGTGGTGTGTCAGCAATTGTTTCGTCTAGAACAGCAAACGCTGGTGGTGAATCGACGGCTGGGATCGGAAGGAGGCCGGTGCAGTGAAGCTGCTGGTGTTGCTGCACTGCTGGGGAGGGAGTGCTGGACAAAAGAAAGCTATCGGCGTCGCAGAGAGGTATGGTGCGGCGGACTACGCACCTGACAAAATTCGCAACCTGGGTACTGCCGGAGCCATGGCGGGCGCTGTTCAGTATGTTGTCGGTGGAGGAGTGCAGAGTGCAGAATGCGGCGAGGATGACGAGCCAAAAAGTTGGCGAGTGGTGCCGCGCTACGAGCAGACGCGACAGGGCCAGCAGCAACGAGCTCCAGAGGGGTATTATCGATTAGTCGGACGGCGGGAAAAACGAGCGTGAGGCAGCGGAGAGCGGGTTCAGCCGGGCGACATGGAACAAACGGAAAAAGTGAGAGGCGTCTGGCGGAAGAAGGGACGCTGCAAAGAGCACCGTCGGTATGCTGAGGCGGAGGCCGGGACGTGCCTACTGCAACAGCGACGAATGGTGAAGGCGGGAAGGAGTGCACAGCTGGGCGCAGGTTCCACAACAGAGGGTTTTCGAAGTGAGCGGACGCTGGCTGCGAGCGAGGGGGAATGCAAAGGTAGAGGGAGAGATGCGGTGGAATTAGCTGACAGTGAGGTGTGAAGCGCAGCGGCGGCAGAAGCTGGGAACGCGCACTGGCAGTCAGGATGGCTTGATATCCCGTTGCTCACTCCATGGATGTGCCGCTAGATTGCATTGGGGAGCGGCCCTGCACTTATCGCTGCCAGACCGCAGACGCCAAATTCATCACTGATTATTATTATTATCATTACCTGTGCCTGCGCTCGGGGCCGCCATCGTCATCGCCTTTGTTTTTGGTGTCTAGCTTGCGCTGCCTGTCACGCGTGGTGGCTGCATAGTTTGCACACGCCTGCAATACGCAACACAGCACTGTCAAAGAAGCGTACAGTACGGTACGACTACAGCACAGTTGCTCACCACCGTCAAGCCACTGCGTCCCAAAGTAGCATCGTCGGTCGTCGGCGCCGAGCAGAAAATACAATCCTGCTCGGAAAGCCTGCCACGACTCCACGAGAGCTTGCGCGGCACCCCAGGCCTGGATGAGGTGCGCTTAACCTGGTGCTGGCGGAAGACCCGCTTGCAGAGAGTCCAGAGATGGTCATGGAGGCGTCTCGGACATTACATGAGCTGGCGCTGGCTGGTGCTGGCACTGTCGCGCATGATCCGCAGGCGCATATATCTACTTCGTACTCAGTACCTACATCGCCGCATATTCGCACCCTCAACCATGCCGCGCTGCGCTGCGCTGCGCTGGCTCGTCCGCGTCACCGTCCGCATCTCTCCTGAATCCTGCACCGTCGCCAGCATCAGCGCGAAACCCAACAGGACTGCTAGCGGCCAATTAGAGGAATGGCCGCTGCAGCTTCTACGCGTATGACGTTCGCGTTCGCGTATCCACCGCCAACATGGCCAAGCCCGTCCAACGCTATCCGTGCAACGCCTGTCAATCCACATCCTTGGTCGATTTCCCAACGGCAGCCTGAAAATCCTCCAAAAGGGGCTGGTCTGTCCAAGAGGCAGTCCGGCATAAGGCCAGCTCAATTTCCAGCCCTGTCGCGACCCTCCAGCACCGCCCCGCTGCGATAACACTGCTCACATGAGCGAGAGCGACAGCTGCTCTGGCGGCCCCCGGCCGTTGGGGAGTTGGGGAATTGACTTTACGCTCGCTGCGAGCGGCCTTGGACGTCGGGACTATTACCAGCGAGTCGCCACTTGGACCAATTTGCACGGCTCGAGGGGCTTGCCGCACCCGAGCCGCAGTCTCCGTTCTTACACCTCCATGATGCCACCAAGTCGACTATCGGGTTCATCTATTGAGCACAACATGGCCGAGCGCAGAGCTGTCGCAGGTTAAGCGTCAGCAGCCTATCACTCTGCAAAGGTGCCTCTTGCCCTCATATTATCGCCACGTTTGCTTCATTGAATCGCACTCAATGGACGCATCACAGCGAAGATCTGCCTTCCATTGATGCAGCACACAATGATCTTGCTGAAGTGGGGAATGATGCCAAGACACTGCTCACCTCGCCGCAAGCAGCGCCCACGCTTGTAATCATCGCCCAAGGACTTGCACAATTGTGTTTCAGCGCTCCAGTTTGTGCGCCTTCCATTATTTTTGCAAGCGAGACTATCGCTCTTCAATCTTGCGCCGTCGTCTCCAGACCCACCCAATCGACATCGCAGATTCGAATGGTCTGATCATGATGCTCCTGCCTTGCCGACTGACACGCGCTCAAATTGACCACCCATATACTAGTCTCGTCCTGTGTTGCTTGTTGTGCCTTGGCAACAGAATTGCTATCGACTTGCGGCCAGGTTCCAACGCACGTATTCTCCACGGAGCGCATGCTCATTGCTGGTCATCGTCCTCATCTCCGACACTCCTTGCAGCCACAGAACATTCACGTGCTTGCGAAACGTCTTACGAACTGCCAGTGTTACGAACGACTGCACTCTCTCCAGCAAGGGAGTTTCAAAGTGTCCACGCGCATAGCACTGCCGCACTGCCACGTCTTTGCAAACGCCCCATGAGGTCGAAGCGAGATGGCGATGTGTGGACCCCTTTGCGGATGCATGTGCAATGCTTGATCTGAGATGCCGGCACCCAGGGGCCCAAGTCGTGGCGACGTGCGCATTGCTTCCATATCTCATATCTACCTAACCCGCCTATATTCGCCGTCGTTATAGATCGAACGAAGCGCGACATGGGAAATGAGAAATGCCGTCTTGAGGCTTGAACTTCCACACCTTGTCCGCGCCCTCCGGTCCTGGAGCTGCATTGGGCGCAGGGCATTATTACTCGTCTGCACATTGCGCTCAGAATAGTAACACTGCACCTCTGCACCTCGGTGCACATCTATCTGACTCTCCGGATCCCCCAACGAAGCTTGCCACGTCGCCAAGGGGCAATGCGCTGACCGACGACTCGCTCACCGATCCATAAAAGCATTTCGAGAATTTCCTCTCATATCCAGAAGGACTGCTTGTGGCTCAAGCCAACCGTGCGCATCCGGCGCCTTGCTAACCGCTTGCAGCGCTTCTTCCTCGTGCTTTGAACGCCAGGTCCACACTTGCGCCCTTGACCAATTCCTGTTCCTGACATGTGGCGCCACGGCGGGTCGGCAGTGTACTGGCCTGCCCGGGAGTGCGTGTAAGTTGCCGCTGTCGATCCCAGCGTTAACGCTCTTCTCCTATCTTGTCGCGTCGCGTTTACTTCCCAAAACACATGTGCAAATATATACACAATACTGAACATGTTCCATAGAACCACAGACGGCCCGAAAATTCGAGAAACATGACGCTCGCAAGGCTGAGAACGTAAAACCAGTTCCGCTTACCGGAACCACGTCCTCCCGCGTCGAAATAAACAGCCGGGTAAACCCCAGGGGCATAGCAGCTCACAAGTAAATACAGGCATCCCCTTCTTATACACAGGCGCATCTAGACAGGCTCACCAATGGCGTGCTTTTGTAATCCATACCAATCAGACCACTCACACTCCCAAACTCTTCTCCTCGGACGAATTCCAAGCCCGCTCCTCCTCCTCCTCCTCCACCACCCGAGCAAGCCCATGCATGCCCATGCTAAACTCCCTATTCTCCGCATTTACACACTCTGACAGCACAACCGTATCTGTATCGCTTAGATCTAACCGTGCCGCCACCATCGTACGAAATGCAGGTACGGAAGCGAGATGAGCCTGTTGTCTCACTCCCATGGGTAAAGTCGTGCAGCCCGTTGTTGAACTTGCAGGCATTGTGCCAAGTACATGTAGCTGGTTCTTGTGGTGGCGTGTAAGCAAGTGCGGCTCGGAGGATATTGGTGAGCGTTTTTTTCTCTCTTTTTGCCAACGGGCGGGCGGGGCGTTGGAGGGGCTGCATTTGTTATTTATGGATGGTCTGTGGAGTGGTTTGGATTGGCTGGCGTGCTGGCATTACTGTTGACCGGCGTGTGTGAGCATGATAGAACGAGTGTATGAGATCACGCATGGCACGGGAGCTTGAGCGGAACAGTCATGTCAGATGAGCGTCAATTTCGTAATCCATAGCTTTTCCAGGCTAAAGCGCAAGTCCATTCCAATAGTCGAACCGCCTACGCCACGCTCATACTTTTCATCGCAAAACGGTGTTGTCGTCCTTCAATCAGACCCAAGCCCGAAGGCAACTTTCCATTTCGATAACATCATCGACGACCTTGGTACCAGTGTATGGACTTAGTTGTCCATGTAGCTGGCAGAGCTGATGCCGTCCTCGGGGAACTCTGGGATCTCGGCAGCGAAGCGCTCCTCGATGGCCTTGAGTACAGCCTCATCGTCCTGGCTGCTGACGAATGAGATACTCAGACCCTTGGTTCCGAAACGACCAGCACGACCGACACGATGGAGGTAAGCGTCAGCCTTGTCGGGCATATCGTAGTTGATAGCGACGTTGATACGCTCGACATCGATACCACGACCGAAGATATCAGTCGAGACACAGATACGGGTCTGGAACTCCTTGAACTCCTTGTAGCGCTTGATACTATCACCGAATTAGCATGATGTGGCAGCTATGCGTGTGGGTGACTTACCGCTCCTCTTGGCCGATACCGGAGTGGACCGCGGTGCTAGGGAAGTTGCACTCGCGGAGGAGCTTGTCGAGCTCGGTGCAGCGCAGGGTTGAGCGAACGAAGATGATGACCTGGTTGAACTCGAGGTTATCGAGGAGGTCGTTGAGCTTCCTGTTCTTCTCGCGCTCATCAAGCTTGACATAGAATTGCTGAAGACCGTGCAGGGTCAGCTTCTTTTCGTCGTCGACGTAGATCTCCAGGGGGTTCTGCATGAACTTCTTGCAGACAGCGCGGATCTCCTTGGACAGAGTGGCTGAGAACATCATGACCTGCTTGTGGGCGGGGGTAGCACGGAAGATCGCCTGGACGTCGTTGCGCATGTCAGGCTGGTCCAGCATCTTGTCACACTCATCGAGGACGAAGTGCTTCAAGTTGGCGAGGCGAAGGTGCCTGTCACGGACGAGAGCGTTGATACGTCCCGGGGTGCCGACGATGATGTGAGGGTGGGTGTCCTTGTTGCTGAGGAGCTCGATGTCCTTCGCAACTGGGGTTCCGCCGTAGAAGACGCCGACCTTGACATCGGGCAAGAACTTGGCAAAGCGGTTGTACTCGTTCCTGATCTGGTAAGCCAACTCACGGGTATGGCACATAACCAGGATGGAGGCAACGCCGGGCTCTGGCTTCTCGTCCATTTGCTGTAGGGTGGCAAGGACGAAGACAGCAGTCTTTCCGAGACCGGACTTGGCCTGGCAGAGGACATCGTTTCCGAGAATAGCCTGGGGAATGGTAACTTGCTGGACTGTATGGCACAATGATGTCAGAAAGGGTATCTTAAGCGGTCGAAACAAAGCGTCAAATGCGAAGCGTGCGTCCGTCCATCTTGCGAGATCAAAATCCTCCATTGAGCGACAGAGCGAGCTGACTCGTGCATGCCGATACGACACCCCCATTACAGCCACCTCTTTTCACCCACGAGAGGCGCGCGATCGCCCGGGTCGATGCTCCAGAAGCACTGGAGTAGAATAGCAAGGGCTGACGAGGCGCCTTGTGTACGGGACCGGGGCGAGCGCGTTCAAATGGAGGATACTGGTATGCCCGTACGTAGCGGAAGGAAAAGGTTCCCTCGCCACTATTTCCTTCTACAGATACCCAAGGTCGCAAACAGATGTGGCTTCTTGCGCAGATGGACGGACGCTTTGACGTGGAGCAAGGCTGAGGGGAATAATTAGACTAACCCTCGGAAGGATGCTCGAATCCGCAGTCGGTGATGGCTCGCACGAGCTCGTCCTTCAGCAAGAAGTCGCGGAAACCGGTGGAGTGAATGCCGACATAGCTGCCCTTCTTCTCGCCGGACGCGTCGGGCGCAGCGAGGCCGCCCTTTGCAGCTGCTGCGTCGCCGTTGGCGGGCACCTCGGTTGGCTGGATCTCCTCATCGGAGTAGTCGATGAGATCTTCCTCGTGAGACATGGTGGAATAGATGGTGCGGTTGGGTGAGGGTATGGAGGTGTGGTGCGATTGGCGCGTGCGTAAGCGTGCGGTTGAGGGCAGCTGAACAGAGCGCGAGCGGGCGCAGAAGTGCGGAAAGTGGGGGTTGAGTTTCTAGACTGCTGAGAAGAGAGATTAGCAGATGACTCTGCGGTTGCAAAGTGAAGTGCGACAAGTCGTGGTTGGCGCTACTGCTGGGTGTGGAGAAAAGAAGGTGGAGGTGAGGGCGCAGCGGTGATGTCGAAGCAAAAAGCCGGGCTAGCTTCAGTTGCCAAGCTGCGCTAGACCGTAGGCAGCACGTGGTCTGTGCATCCGCTTTGAATCATCCCCACAGTCTAAAACAAGATGTAGAACGAGTCGTTGTTCCGGAACCAACCATTGTTCTACCGCTGTCTTGGGAACTTGCTGTACGGACCTCTCGTAACAAACAAATCAGCAACCGTTCAAACCAACGCCATGAGCAAAGTCAAACCTCAAAAGTCCAAAGGAATACCGAGTAAACATCTACACGCCCGCACTACTTTCCTATACCAGGCCGCCACGTACCTGACTCTACAAACAACTTCAAACAAGACCACGGCCACGAGGATTCTTGAATCTGACGAGGACTGGAACTCGGCTCAGACATGCAGTGAGCACGTGCCGAGTCACTCGCCTCTTGCTCTCCAGCTCGGTTCTGATTTGCAGCAAGTTACGCGCAAAGCACAACTTCGCCTCTCCGTGGATTTGAAACGCAGTCTTTGCAAGCGGTGCAACACAGTGCTGATCCCAGGACGTACAGCGAACCAAAGCGTGGAGAATCTGAGCAAAGGTGGGAAGAAACCATGGGCAGATGTGTTTGTGCTCGCTTGTATGACATGTGACGGGCGGAAGAGGTTCCCGGTTGGTGCGAAGAGGCAGGACAAAAACAAAGCACGAAGGGCCGTCATCAAGGACACTGCATCTGCCACCAGCTTAGATGAGGTACGACAGATTGAATCCGCGGCACAGACCAGCACCGAATTTGACTCAACTACGGCATGAGCTAGCGACACTGGTGTCAAAAGTAATGGTCCTCCCTTCGCGAGACACATGATATAGCGACTTGGCATTCTGCATGCATCATACCAATGAGCTTGACTGATGAGTTCGAGCGCGGTGTGCAAAAGATCGGATCGGCGACCACGCATCGATGCACAGAGTATGTCACGGAGGTGGCACCATCAGGTCCATGTTGGAGTTGTCGATCTCGTTCTGCATGACACTAAGGCCGGGGCAACACATGCCATACCTTAAGGTTAATGGATCGATGCCACGGGAACTGCCGTCACCGCATATGAAATGGTTCCTGGGCCACGCCTTTGGACTGTGGCATCCCTAGGAACTCGGGTGCGGATTTTCTACATCTTTTCGCACACTTCCCAATCAGTCCATAAAACCGCAGCTCCATCACACAATGTTTTTATTTCCGTTCACAATTGCTATATCTGCGATAGTTGCATTCCACAGGGCGCACGCCAGCCCCGTCACCAGCCACAAGTATGTACGCCAAAGAGACACCCCGACGGACTATGCGTCACAGAAATTCAATGGAACGCTTCCTCTCGGCTACGAAGTCGATGTATATGCCTAACTATTCCCCAAATCCATCATTTACTGATACGATGGCAGACCGATTTGGAAAACAGTGATCGCTGTGACATTGACTTTTGCGCGGGAACCATCGACTCGGGCAACACAGCCTACGTGTGTGGCGATGCCCGTCTAGGTCCCGTCATCCTCCCGTCATGTCTACCCTTGTCAACCCTCGTGGGTGGCAGCACTACGTACGGTCGCTTCGGCGGTCTTTGTCCCGGAGAATTCATCTCAATGTGGACAAACTACGCATCCGCTGGCGAAGTTAGCTGGTTCATGTACCCCTTCTCGGATGGCTTCGCGAACAACACTGCTGGAAGCCCTATACGTGGACACATGACGTTGAAGCCAGGCACGCAAGTCGATCGCTTTGGTAGTGCGCGGGGCAATTTCGTGGCGAGTGCAGGGAGTCCATATAGTCAGAGAGCGCTCCCGCCAGCGAATTTGGACTTTGACATGAACGACCCCTCGCAGGTGCCGTACAACTACCATGTTTATGAGGTTGAAAAGGCCGTAGTAGTGATCGGAGGGCCTGTTGCGCCTTGGTTCGGACAGCCTGGGCTGGGCATGCAATTCCTGCTTCCAAAGAGTATTGAGGCGCTTATAAAAGATGGCGTATTGTCCGAGATTGCCGTGACACAGCAGTGTAGTGCTAAAGCCGGCTGAAAAGTTCGATGGTAGTGGTGTCGAATCATGCAATATGAGTGGATGCATCAAACAGCTAGTCTCTCAATCATGCCCTCAAGCTCACACACCACATCATTGTATACCGCCGTCTGCAAGCTCTTGCTATTGAGCTTCGTCCCAAATCCAAAATTGCACTGCAAGCACTTCTGCGCGATCTTCTGGTACTCTGGTCCCAGCGGCGCTCTACCTTGAGCAAGTCGTCGCGCGGTGTAGACTGGGTCCAGTTGGTCTCGTGTTATCATCTTACTCTCCAATGGTTTCCAGTGCGCAATCTCGAGCAATGCGACTCCGAGGAAGAAGAGAGGGAGGTTGTTGATGCCGTACTTGATCTCGTCGCTGACTACGTCGTCGGTCTTCTGGACTCCTTCCATGACTTGGGTGGCCGTTGTTGGTTGATGTGGCCATGATATTTGTGAGCTGAGGTGTAATGTCTTCAATGTGGCGTCGTCGAATGTTCGCTGGTGGCCGAAGAAGCTCATGTTTCCTAAGCGCCAACGTTCAGCCAGCCATGGTGTGTCATTGTATTGCAAAATTGCGAGTGCAGTCTTGAGTGCTAGTCTGAGCTGATCTTCAGGCTCCAGCACGTCGTCCGCCTCATACTGCATGATGTCGAAGACGTTGAAAATGCTTGCTTGTTCGGGCGGATCCGGGGCATTCACGACCTTCGCAGCTCGATCTCTTAGATAGAATCTGTGCTTGTACTTTTGGCATGGTGTTTCCAAGTACCCGAGGCATTTTGTGGGCGTAGAGCTGTCACGAGCTCCATGGGTTCGTTTCAAATAATGACAGATGCTTTTAGTTTGACACAGATTGAAGTCGGGTAGGCTCACTTTTGCGATGGGTGTCGTGACCACGGCAGCTGACGGGTCAACGAAATGAACCCGCTTCTTCTTCGGACGTGCAGAAGCCTGTGGAAGATCCGAAGAAGCCTTTTTCTTAAGAGCTTTGGCCGAAGTAGTGCTAAGAAGCTCGACCGGTATCGCTTTCCTAAGAGCGTCCATAGTTTGCGATGCTACGATGTCGGGTAGGGCATTGGTTACGATCATGGACTGTACATATAACCAGATGGGAGGATCAATTAAAATGCTGTTGTATCCATCGCTGAAGGTATCATGACAAGATACAGCGATATCAAGACGAACTTCTGCGTCTGCCTCGGCATCAAGGCACAGCTTAGCAAAGTGACCTCGATGTTTTGCGTCGTCGCAACACCAAGCGCTGCAAAGGGCTTCATGGAGCTTCTGAGATGCACCTTGGATAGATTTAAATCGGTCCGGTAACGTCTTGTGTCGCACAGTCGCGCCTGCAGTGGTTGTTGCTTGATGCTGGAAGGCCCGAATCTGGCTTCGTAAGGTGCTCAAATCGTCGTTGCGATCACGTAAGCTCGCCAGACATCTTTCGTGTTTGCTCTTGTTGAAGGAAATCTGAACCGCTCCTCGCAACCGTTTTATAGCAGCTCGAAATGATTCGTCCTGTGGACAGTGAGTTCGTGTTAGGTTTGGTAGGTATGACGACAGAAAATGGAGCACTGACCAATTTCTTTTGCGCTCTCAAATGGTCAAACTTTCTCAACTCCTCCTTCATCTCACCAATAACGTCCTTGGTTTCTTCAATAATACTGCGACTGAGCTCTAGACTATCCTTCAGTACGACATTGAGCTTGTCGTTGAGCTCTTTGCTTGTCCATCGTTGGTCGCTTCCATTCTCCAGCATGTCTTCAGCGGCCCTGTCATCCTCCACTAGGCGAATCAATAGCCTGCAATGATTAAGAAATATGCCATTCTGCACTTTGAGCTGGAGCGAAATGGATTTGACCTCTTTGGAGTAGTGCCGAAACGTGTGAAGGCTGTCTGCAACATCGGAATATGATTTTACAACCTCAATCAATATCGGGAGTATACCGAAAACAAGGCCCGCCACTTCTATGCCAGACATAACGACAGGTGCGCGGCCGGAGCAGATGAAGATCGAGCTCAGCAGGCTGGCAGCCGACGGCTGATGTATGCATGTTCTCTTTTCTCAGCCTCGTCTCCTTTCTGCACTGCCCCGCACGCCTGCACTCAGCCCACTCGCCTCCCACTTCTTGATTCCGCATATCAGGTAATACAATGCCATGGCTCTTCCATGATTCCTAGATTTACATATCACGACACAATCCTGGGTGCATCGCAGCAACATTGCGCAAGCGACGGGCAAGCATGGAAGAATTGCAAAGCATCTCAAACGACAGCCTGACATATGCGCATGACCACACTGTGGCAACTGTGAGCGGAACGAAGCAGTCGTCAAGCGTCCGAGGTGCACATTCACCGACCCAGATGCTGTCGTCCAATGCTGGACTCCAAGGAGAGAACGACATCGAGCGATGGCAAGCTTGTGCCGGCACCGAGGCTGAGGACGATGTTGGCATCGTAGCACGACTGCTGCAAGCCTGCATCGACTCAATTGCACATCTCCTACTATCGGCTGATCCCTCTCCTGCTTGTAAGCAGCTTCGACGAAGTCTTGTGAGAATGAAGTTATGGGCCAACGGCCATAATGCATGGAATGGAGGATTAGATAGCATACTGGAGAAGTCGAAGAGTCTTCGGCACACTACCTTGTCTATCTTAAACCCCCTGTGTAGAATTCTGTCTAACGGTATGCTTTCTGCTTTTGTATTTAATGGTAAACTTGCTTACGAGCCCACAGATCTGTACAGACATGCCGACTCAAAGGACACTGCCACCATGGAATTATACATCCATACCGCCCAGATATACAGTCAGACCAAATGGCTCCTCAAGCAAGCTGAAGAAGGTGTTAGTGAAAGTGATAGCGATAGCGACAGCGACAGCGAAGTGAATAGCGACAGCCCCGGTAGCGAAATAACAAGTGGCGGAACAGAAAGTCTGGCCGAAGATGTCAAGATACATGTCCAGTGCTTATTTGATCTGAGCAATGCCCTCGAGTATCCGGCGATCGATCCCGAGCCGACGGACGAACCTAGCTTGCTAAAGGTTGAACAACGTGCCGCCCATGATTACCACAAAGACCTCATTGTGGCAAAGTTTCCCAAGGTACATATGGAGCTAGCTGAGTGCTTGGGAAAGATCAGTTGGGATTCGATATCAGCCGGATGCCAAGAAGAGGCGCGAGGATCAACGCCAGCAATCCGACAGGTTCGCCCTGCTGAAGAAGAAGAGATGGCAGCCATCAGGTTCAGAAAGTCTCGATTTGCGGAGTCAGGAGTTCAAAGATTCTGGGACTTGGAAACGTCCCCTTCCTGCGCCCACGAAAGCCCATTATGCGGAGACAGTGATATCTTTCATGACGAGTATCACCGGAGGCAAGCGGATCCAAATCCCGCCGCTACCAGCCGAAGCCAGGACTGGGGCACAATTCGAATGTAATGCATGTGGTAAGCACATACGTGCTGCGACTAACCGTGATTGGCGGTAAGTTACTGTAGTATTAGGCGCATCACAAAATCTGACACACGCAGAAAACATCTCTACCTCGACCTCCAGCCGTATACATGCCTCTATAATAGCTGTATGTTCAGTGCGAAGCCGTTTGCAAATCGCCAGCTCTGGAGCCAGCACTTGGAATTGGATCATCAGCTTGGTCCCAGCTGGGAGAGCGTGGTGTGTCCCTTGTGCCTCGAAGCGACTGATGCTGGGAAAAGCAAGATGCTTATACACTTCGCGCGTCATATGGAGGACATTGCACTCGCAGCATTGCCGCGTGAGGTGGAGTCTGATAACGAATCTGAGAATGAGATTGACGATGCTTCTTACCGATCTGCCGGCTCCTTAATACTATCCACTGGAGAAGACAAGACCGGGAATGAAATATATGAAAGTCACACGGTTGCAGACGATCTAGAGGCAGAGCATATGGAGAAGCCGCTCCGATTTACAATGGATCTCGAAGAAACCGCGCGGGCCCAACTCCTGGAGCTTGAGGGGATCGAAAAAAAGGACGACCCTCCCGTATCAAAATTCATCACGAGACCGTTTATGAACCCTGATAAAGTGCATCCTTTGATGGCTTCCATGGGGTCCTCGTCCTGCCGTTGCAAAGTCTACGAGCTGGAAAACAGGGACTGGCTCGATCGAGGGACAGGATACGCTAATGTTATAGAGAATGAACAGGCCCAATGGAATCTCGTGGTCTATGCAGAAGATCAGACAATTCAAAAATTGTTCTTAACGCCCATATTGATGGACGGCGGCTATTCTAAACAAAAGGATACACTTATAGTATGGATTGAACCAGACGGTACACATATGGCACTGAGCTTCGAGACCCCAGAAAGCTGTAACATAGTCTGTGACATCATCAACATGGTTAAAAGGAGTGCAGTGGCGCCAAAGCTGGCCCTGTCTCCAGACAGGTCCGACAAAACCCGGCCAACCGAAGCATCTGCTTCATTTCCGGAACCTCGTACCACCGCTGGTCACCAAGGGTCAAAGCTCGACAGTTCTTCGAACTCTCCAGATGCGCGAGATTCCTCTCCTTCGAAGACCTCCGCCAACACTAAGGCTGATCATAATGATGCAGACCGACGCAAGAAGGAAGAGGATGCCCGCATAGCTCAGCAAGCCCAAGTCGAGGCAGAAACCCAGGAAAGAAGAGAGTTGGAAACGAACAGGCAACAAACCGAAAACCAAGACAGGCAGCAAGTGCTTCATCAGAACCAGCTCCAGCCAAAGGAAGCCCTTGGCGCAGCCACTCAGGCTCAGCAAATGGCGAAGTCACTTTTGCAGAAAAGCCCTGGATTCATAGACGCTACAGACCAACAGCCCTATGCTCGCAGCATAATTCTCAACGACATCAAACCATACATACCTCCCGAAGTCAATACTTGGAGAGATATCAAGCAATGGGCTACAAATAATGAGAATATGATCAACATGGACGAGCTGTTACGACTACAAGAGGTGCAATTCCTAAATCAGGAGCAAAAGCAGAATGAATCCGCGCCAACGCAAACCCTGGAGGCTGACACGATCAAATGCCTCTGTGGATATTCAGGTGCCGACGGGAATACTGTCTTATGCAAGCTATGCAACTCATGGCAGCACATTGTGTGCTATTACACATGTTCGTCGCATGTGCCTGATGTTCACGAATGCGTCGATTGCCGCCCACGTCCGATTGACCGAGAAGTCGCTGCACGTGTGCAACGTTTACGACGCGAGTATCCACTAGAAGACATTCGAAATGAGGAGGACGCAAAAAAAGCGGAGCGAAAAGTCGAGATCGAACGTCGATGTCTGCAGATGGACCCTCCCATTACTCCAGAACAATTACGCCACATGGAGTCGTTCAAGGCATCTATCCAGATTGCGCATCCTATGAACGACGAATCATGGGCTGTATTGAAACCTCGCTTAGTTGCTCAGCTGCCTGCTGCTGGAAAACGGGTTCTGCGTGTCCCTACTGCTGTCTTGCATCGACTTCAAGCTTGGCTCAAGGCGAATATTAGTAATCCTTATCCCAGCCGCGATACGAGACTTGCGCTTGCTCAAGAGTGTGGTATAACAGAGAAGCAAGTATCAACTTGGCTGCTCACAAACGCAAGGTCACGAAAACTACATGATGTCTCTGACGAGACCGGTGATGAGCCCACAGATGAATTGCAAAAAGCTTCGAGAATCCATCGATGTAATTGTGGAAGATCTTATACCCGTATCGAGCATTTGAGACGGCACCAGAAGAACCACTCGCAAGAAGGAGCATTGGTGTGTGGTCTCTGTTTCAAGGTCTTTTATAGAAGGGACTTGTTTGAGCGGCATGCCGAAAGACATGAAAAAGCTGGCCCTACCGTACCTCCGAGTCCTAAGTACGATAGTACCACTTCCATACCTCAAATGACCATCATCGGAGCGCCCAGTCCTGAGGCTAGGTCCCCGGAGTTTCTCCAAGGAAAACTACGAGAGAACACCACGCATCAGAGGGCTGGTGATGCGGTAGTGGAAAACGTGATACCAATTCCTTGCGATGCATGCCAAGAGAGGCAGATCATATGCGATAGAAAAAGACCACATTGCATGGAATGCATAAAATCTGGAACCAATTGCCTTTACTCAGCAATATTCGATAAGAGATCAGTGCGGATTCGAAGAAAAGGCCTCACAGCAGAACAGCGTGCCGAAACGATGCAGACGCGACGCATTGGAGCTTGCGCAGATTGCAAGAGACGAAGAATAAAATGTGATCCTGGTACACCATGCAAGCCATGCCTAAGGCTCTATCAGGATGACTTGACCAAACACTCCTGCCGCAAAGACAGGGACGTCACTGGAACTGGAAATGAACAACACTCACAAGACCGCAGGTCTCCATCGCTGCCACTCTACGATTCGTCATATGGAGACCTGGAGGGTGTCGGCGCGCACTTCGGCGCGCACTTGGTAATTGAAACGCTCAAAAATGGACAAACGGCGGGTCCTTCACGACCATCTTCAAGCATCCAGCCTCAGCAGTATCACTCTGCTGACTATGTACCGAGCCCTAACTTTCAAGATCTACTACTTTATCCGGAAGCATCTGCTGCGCGCACAGTAGATGGTAAGACCACTCACGTTATTGAAATCTGATCTTTGGACTAGTTTTGTGCTGACCACGATACAGATGTGCAACGAAATTATGTGCCTACGTCTGAGAGACCTCTGGCAGGTGTTTCCACGGACTACTTCGACAATCCTCCAGTTGCTACGTCTTCGGCCCAGTCGTCGAGTTCACGACTTCGTGATAGCACCAACGAGGATGTCCAGCGAGCGCTACAGGCTGCACAGCCTGTGCGCTCACAAGAACCACTCGAATCAACGACGATATACGAGTCCCCGTATAAACAAGGCTCGCCCTACAGCCGCGTCAATGCCAGACAATTGCAACCTGGTAGTAGTACATCGGAACTTGAGAGCAAGACAATGGCGCCAAAGGACGCTCTACTGGATGCCGCGGATCCCGGTGCGGGGAGTAACAGTGATATGGTGGCGGAGAGGCCGAGGCGTCGGTGGCAGAGGGATGGGAAGAAGCGGGAGTGGGATAGGAAGAGCCGGGAGTGGGATAGGGAGAGCCGTGAGTGAGGTAGGGAGATATTTGAGGAGGATATGGAGAAACTGCGGGAGCATGAAGACGGCGCCACAGAGGCTGACGAGGAATAGCAGCTATCATGGAAACTATGATCTACTATTATAGAGGTCTGTCCATGCACACGAACTCAAAGCACTTTCATATAATTGTATGTTCCGCTCGTATACGAAAATGCGTCGTGAAAGTCATTTGTAAAATTTCTTCATTTGTGAAATTCCAGTCTGCCATGACGGTGTATAGCGTATTGTTGATCTGCTAGGGTTCAGAGCCTTGACACAAGATCACCATGTTCACTATGTCCATCTTCTCAATTTCTTCCATCCATTCATTGGGATGGATAGATAGCCAGCCGCGATTCAAGCGCGTTGGACTCATCCAGGTACCTACATGGAGACAAGGAAGCAACAACAATCCCATCTTACTGCTACTATCGCCTCGTACGAACAAGCATGTAGCGTCGCTAACTTATGCAAATCAATATGATTACCAGCTTCACAACGCAACCTACCCATAATGCACCGCGATATCTTTTTCCAATCGTACATTTGTTCCGCTCCACCAACTAATCTTTCTGACTCGCATTGACGCAGCTGCAGCCGCACCGACCCCTCATCTCGGATCTCGGAGCATCGTCCCATGAAGGATTCAGGAATGCAGGATTTCCATTGATAAACCGGTAACCATCTCGGCTATCGAACAAGGTTTTCCACGACCCCAGTCTGTATCGTGCCCTGCTTTTTCCAATGACGCCCACACGGAAATTGCGGCACGAATGGGGAATTTTCAGCGAGTGGGAAATCGAACCTTGTTTTGCTAGGAGGAGGATGAGGGAATATGTGTGCGAAGGGCCATTGGTGGAGGTAGCGCCGCGCTAGATCGAAGGCACATGATCACGCGTCCACTTTACGCGAATCTACTACCCATATCTACACTACGCGCATCTTGCTCCGAGGACAGGAAATGAAGCTATTCGCATTCGGCTACGATCCATCCTCCCCCAGCTCCACCACACCAGATGTATCTTCTCCACCAAGTCCCCTCCTCCGCGCCGCTTGCATAAAAATCCTCTGGGCATCATGGTGCGACTCCATCATCGCGCACACCAGCTCCAGCGACACCTCTCAACGGACAGTAGAATATCGCGGCCGGGGCTTGACGTCCGCGCAAGCGATGCACATCGCCAACTCCCCGGTCATCAAAGAAGCTGTTTCTCAAAAGGAAATAGGGATTGAATTCTTCGGCTCGTCAATGCACGAGGGCGTACGCGGCTACACGACACCCACGTCCGTCATTGTATTCTCTTCAGAGCTAGAGATTGAGAGTGGGGATGATGAGATTCAAACCTACCCCATGGCAATCGCGTTGATTCGCATGGATAGTAGTGGGGGGTACTTGGTCAGTTCAGGCGATGGAATTGTGTACTTTGATGGATTCGCGTCGTTTAGGGGCTATCTCGAAGCGAAGTCGACTACGTCCAGTGGGAAGTTGGCCCCGTTCGAGCCCAGGGAATGGTGTACGAATACCACGACGGCCACGGCACTGGATCACAGTGGGAAGGTGCATACTGCGACGCGCGATCCGCGGTATCCGAAATGCCTTGGGCGCACGTATACCAACAGCACTGGTTTTGAACCAGTCGAATACCTATCCGAAACATGCATTATCAAGGTGGCTTCGGGAGGTTACATGACTGCGGCCGTGAGTGCGGAGGGTGAGTTATTCCTCTGGGGGCAGGCGAACCCAGGTGATGAGATGATGGTGTCGGTGCTTGGAGAGAAAGGCGCGTTGGGAAGCAGCACTTCCACGGCGATCAGCGCCGATGAAGACCAAGATGAGATGGTCAAGTGCTTGAATGTTAGGGTCGAAGGACAAGAAGCTTTTGTGTATGATGTTGCGATTGGGCATGGCCATGTGCTTGTCGCAGCGGAAGTGCAAAGGGACGGATGCGTCACAGCGCGAGCAGTGCTTGGTGCTGGATGCAATGAAAACGGACAGCTAGGACTTCCCATAAGCAAGCAATTTGTCGGAGACTTCGAAGCAATACCTGCTTTCGCGGGCTTGAAGATTGAAAAGCTAGTTGCCAAAGGCTGGTCCACATTGGTAGTCACGTCTGAAGGGTGATGAGCAGGACGTTGTATCCGAGTTGGATAGTAGGCGGTATTATTTAGGCTCGCTTAGAGTTTAGATGATGTTGAGGTGAAAACCATGATATCGAACCATGTATCCAAGTACCAAACAACCAATTAAACAACGAAAAGCCTACTGCGCTCAAGCGAGATGACGAGGGCAGAGAGGTATGCATCCAGTACAGCATTTTATATCCTGCGCTTCTTCCATTACAGGATTTGTGCCAACGACGAACGTGGGCGCCCATGGTTCCAAATGCCCTTCATGGAAGACTGAAGTGTTGATCGCCGGTGATGGCGAGCTGCCTTGTAGTTCTATCCTCGTCATTACGGTGATCGAGGCTTGCCTAGTTCGCAGAGGCGAATCTTGAGGCGTCGACGTTCGCGTGTGCACTCGTACGAATTTGTTAGGAACAATCTTTTCGAAAAGAGGTCGGAGATGTGGGCAACAGGCGACGACGATACCAGTGCTCATTTGAGCGATCGCCCACATCAAAGAGGTACCTATACCATAAGTGACGTCCCTACCGTAGGCCACCTCAGTAAGCACGCTTATGCGCAGACCGCCAACAAGGATGTTACTGCGACTCGGTCAGTGATCCATGAATGTGCACAGATGATCAAATCATCGTACAGTATTCCCAATGCAAAAATGGCTGTTATTGCCATCTTGTGCGCCAGTCGGAGCTGCAATTGCCAGACGACACAGTGAGGAATCGTCCAGGTCAGGAGATCCAGTGCGACCCCAAGAGCCGCCATGGTAACGACAAAAGGTTCGAGATTGAAGCAATGACCCGACTGCTTAAGTGGTAGAGTCCAGTTGTACTTGATAGGATGACAGTGAAGTAGGACGCCGAGGATGGTCGCTAGGCCCGTCCCGTTGGCGAAGAAGATGCAGCCGTACGCTGCGAGGGAGAATCAACATGAGCCTGATTGAGATGACAGATTAGGTTTTGGTGATGAATACCAACATGCCTCAACCACGGGAACCCGTGGGTAAACAGTGTGCGTATGAAGAAGACGGCGATGGCGCATCGCGTAAGGGTTAAGCCCAAGGCCATGGGAATTCGGAACAGCCACAGCACCTATACAACTCAATATGGCAACCATGGAGTTATTGCTTTCCCTACCATGAGAGTCAACTGCAATCTCGACTTGTTCGCAGTCTGTATGTGCTCGTGGACATGACCGGCGACCATGGCTGCTTGGCATCAGAGATGTGACCAGATCGGTCTGAACATGGGGATGACTCGCCTACAAGGAAGAGTGCGACGACAATGTAGAGGCATATCTAATTGCGTGTCAGCAGCAAGCTACGTCAGGCTCCAATGCTGATTCTACTAAAGAAAGCAACAGGAGTGTATCGTCGCTGGTCCATGGCAGACGCATGGTGCGCTTTGTGGAATAGCGTGCAATGAGAAACAAGAGCGATAACAGTGCGAGTACGATGACTGCGGCAACATAGGATGCGAATAACATTTGCGCTTTGACGAAGCGGGACGCGGAGTGCGGGTATAAGGGATGGAGCTCGAGTGCTTAGAATTTGGCAGCCGTGCGCATCGTTTGAGGATTGGGGAAGCGAGTAAAACGGGGTCAAGAGGGTAAAAGTGTATTCGAGTGAGTTTGCTGTAAGTTGCTTTTAGGAATAGGAGTGACGGATAGTAGAATAGACATGATGGCTGCTTGGGTGGTGTTGCTGCCGCCGGGACTGGTGAAGCACGTGGATGCGATGCTGCGCGAGAAGTAGCTCGATGAAGCTGCTGAAGCGCAGGAAAGAACGACGCGATGTTGTCGCTGCTCACCGACAGTACGATATGTTGTAGTTAATACAGTGGTTAATCCAAGGCAGGCTTTACACAGCGCGCGTAGCAACGTAGTCGACATGTCGATCATCATTACAGTGTTTCATGCTGAAGTCAAGTGTAGGTATGATGTCAGTGTTGTCGGGTGAGTCAGTTGGGAGTTGGGGTAAGCGCGACCCTGGATGGCAAATAATTTCATGCAAGGCAGCTGCGTTGGGCCAAGAGGGAAGCGACATTGACACGCAGGCACGTGCCGCCGAGGCCAATGTCCCCTTCCCGGCCTGCAAGGCGACAGCACAATGGAGGTGACTCGGCGATATTGTGGCGCTCGCTGTCGGCTTGATGCCCGATTTCCTCCCAGATTCCTCTCGGACCTTGACGGTTTCGGCGGCGAGTGCGGCGCATTGCCTGTGAGCACAGCCATCGGATCATTAGGTACGAAGTATTGAATTCTCCGCGCACCATCGGACCGATGCCCAACTCTGTTCGGCTGTCAGAACAGCAAGTGTGAGAGGAGGGCAGTAAAGTTTGGCGGCAGCCCTCTGGACGTTGCTTTTGCTACACCACGCAGCATCCCGGTTCCTGGGCCCAGTGGTAGATCGGGAGATGGACTTGTCGACGTCCCACGCCACGTCGCTCTTAGGTGCCCCCGCGTCCGCGTAAAAAGCGCTGATCGACTCACTTGAATCTTAGCTGTGTCAGGGCCGTGTCCAGTCAGCGACGCCATGATCAGGCACATACATCATTCGCGGCCTTTGTGGCAGGGCTGATCAGGGAGCACAGAAACACAGACGCTCGTCAGAGCGTCAGAGAACAAGGGTGTTGTCGATCATAGGTGATCCTCTCCCTTGTACGTGCCTTTGGGCGAAATGACAACAATGCATACGGCATGCCTTGTACGCACAGCACAAAGCTCGCTCGGTCGAAGGTGCGGCCGTCGCTGCAAGATGGAAGAATCCGGCTGACTGCGCTGCTATCGAACGATGTGCTGATAGCGCGACACCGGCGAGGGCAGTACGAAGAGAAATAGTCGTATTGCCACGGCGTTAGGCAGTGCCGTGGGACAGGCTTCGTTGGATCTGTCTTGCTATTCGCTCGCTGTCTCGAAACGCTAGCGGGTCCCGACAGGGTCGAGGACGCCATCAGGAGTTCGTCCTTCTTTTTCGCCTTTTTTAGGGCCGTGCACTCCCTGTCCATGGCGCGGTCAAAGTCTGTAAACGTCATGTGCACCTTTCTTGACCTGCCAATTCGCACTGTTCGGCTTGGAAGTGCCGTCTGTCTATTTTCAGGCAGCCGGTTTTCCCACAATACGGAAACGAATATGGCCCACTTGAGCAGTCCGTGCGATCCGTTTCCACCGACCGTTTTCCTTCTTCCTTAGCAGCCTCGCAGTCCAAACTCTCCAAGACGCTTCTTCTCTTTTGCTCTGTCCATCTCCAGCAGCGAGATCCCTTGTCCCCGGATAGCCAGTCACTCTCTGCAACCCCCTCCAGGCTATAAACCTCCCCCAAGACCCAGCCCAACCCGGGCATGATATAAGAGTTACCCACATACACCCCCCTACTTCCGCACACAAGCCATGGATTATCGACATTCTTCACCAGCCAGGAGGACAGACAGCCTCCGCCCCACCACACAGAGGCAAAGAAGCAACTCTTTTCCCATCGTCGAGGCATTAGGATGCTCAACGCCAGAGGCTCAACTCATCCTTGCCGAAGGCAGAGCTGCTGTCCGAAGACGCCGCGGCCGACGCAATCGATCATTTGATGACGACGACGAAGAGACTCCTACCGCCTTCAATCCCAAAGACCACATGAAATATTTGATGGCTGAGCAACCAGCACTATCCGAGGCTAGAAGCTGCCACGCTAGAATCCCTTCCAATGCCACGGACCGGAGCACATCAACCATAGTCGCTGTTCCTCGTGATTCTAAACTTGGCAGCATGGCTTCTCCTACTGGTCCGCTAGGAAGTTATTCCGCGCACCTTGCGCAATTTATCAAGGCACAGCTCAAATCGATTCCAACATACCAATCGGAACAAGAATTCGTCTCCAACTTGTCGCCTCAATCATGCCCGGAATTCTCGTTCCCCGCGCAGTCACCACCACTTTCACCTCGGAAATCAATGCGACGGGCAATTGAGGTGCCCCAGTCCATACAAATTCCTCCGATGCGCCCACCGATGAGAAGCGCCTTTTCCGCATGGAGCTCTACTGACGATGATGATGAGGAGGATGAAGAGGTCCAGTCGCTACCAGAAATTGACGAGTACACTATGGATGCCATATCCAAGATGGGCACGTACACGCCTTCTGTTCTTGGCTACTACGAGGCAAACAACAACGCCTCCTTCTTGTTCTCGTCATCGCCTTTGGAGCGTGACGATGGCCCAGACACAGCGCGAGGTCAGAACTTCGCTGTTCAGCCTGCGCCCACGAGTTCCGCCTCAGAGTCTTACGATGAGAACGACTATCCTTCGTCATCTTTCTCACGGCCACTGCTCAGCTCATCGTCTGCGCCATCGTACCCTTCGTCAGCAGCGTCGGCGTCTTCGTACTTCAACTGCAAACGCCCTTTCGCCGATGGCCCTATCACCACGGATCGCATCATAGCCGCACTCACACCTCCCCGTCCGTACGGGAAGACGATTTCAGCAGTCTCGCCCTGGGAAGGTGGTGCTATCGCTAATGTCCACGACGTCTTCATTGAGTCCCAACACCGAGTGCACGTTGATGGCATGTCATTTGACATGCTAAGAAGCTTCACCGCACCAGGCTCGGTTACTACACCTTGCTGAACCTACACACAACACACATTTCCTTGATCTTGTTTTATTAGCGCAAGCGTTCTGGTCTGTACATTTTAGGTCACTACACGTGTCGAGCCGGCCTTGCCACGCACAACAACCCAGCCTTCTCGATTAGCGGTTCTTCTTCGCCTTCCAAAACTATTGTATTGTAATTGTTTTCCTTTGGGTTTCGGGCGATATACATAAGACTGCTTGGAAATCCCGTTCATTTGGGTACGGCGCACCGCTCTTCTTTTGCTTGGGAGTTTTGGCAACAGATATCCTGCACACGACGGGTGTATGACGCACACGATATTTTTTTTTTCTGTTGGAACTTTTGTACAAACGCACGAGACGGAGAGGCTTTCGCCGAGACACACTGAGCATGTCATAGCCGAAGCAATACACATTTTATCATACCACGATTTGTCAACGCATATTCGCTATCAACTCTTTGCCATGATGAAGACGTTTCAAGTGAGGTCAACATAGTAGCGCCATTAGGGCTGAAAGCACGCGCCATATCAGCAAGGTTTTGAGCGGTGAAAGATGCTGCAAGGCACCCGCGGCCTGCAGATCTGGGGGCGCGGGAGAGCAATGCACGGTCGATCTGGTACGTCACATGTTTGGTTGGTTTGTGCCGCGCGGGCATGATCCCACCTCCAACGGCTGTGTGGCGCCTAGTGCTGTCGGCAAACAAACTTCATGACGCGACACGCAAACTGATTGATCTCTGTCGCAGTCTGTGTACACAGCACTTAGTTGCGCTCTTTAAACTCTGTCTACAATCGCATGTCTCTGACTGATGTCCCGCGCTAGTGGACACGTCAACGTTTGAGGATTCCGTTGCCGACACCTAATTCACGTCCATCGAGCAACACTTGCAAATCGGCATACACCATCACCAGCAGACGTCATGGCCGACCCCGATCCCGGTCTGCTCGCGACCCTCCTTGGACGCGTCGCATACGAGTTTACGCTGGTACAGCCGCTGCTGCCTATGTACTTGCACCTCATCGTCTCGGCCCTCTTCCCGATATACACGGGCGCGCACGCCTCGCTCTCGCGCCCGACCTCGGCAGCGAAGCCAGCGAAGAGAAAGCGTGCGAATAGTAGCGAAGGTGCTGATGAGAGCCTTGAAGACGAGGACGAGGACGAGGACGAGGGAGAGGACGAGCGCATCCTGGAGGGGTTGTCGCCCACAGATGCCCTCCTCATGCCTCTGTTCGCCGGATGCGCGCTTGCCTCGCTGTACTTCCTCCTCAAGTGGATGAAGGACCCCGCGCTCCTCAACAAGATCCTGAATGGCTACTTCGCCATCTTCGGCGTCTTCTCTGTTTCACGACTCGTCACAGATGTGCTCGACATCGGCCACTCGCTCATATTCCCGCACCGCCATGTTCTGGGTGGGGCGCTATATCGTGTCAATGGCACCGCGCAGAAGGCAGAGCCTGTGGCGGGCAATGTGAAGAACAAGTCGCCCATTACGACGCCGCTTCCGGGCTTTCTGGCCAGGCTGCCTCTTTCGGATCGGGTGAGGAATATGCTCTGGGCCGATCGCGCCATGCCGGGAAACAAATGGACGCTGCGCATGTATCTCCATCGCGCGTTGACGGGCAAGTTCAAGATCGGCCCGCATGGCATGTTCGGTGTCGTCGCTGGATTGAGCACAGTGGCATACTTCAACCTCGTCGACAAGCCGTGGTACCTGACGAACCTCTTGGGCTTTGGCTTCTCGTACGGCGCTCTGCAGCTCATGTCTCCCACGACATTTGCTACAGGCAGCTTGATCCTCGGCGCCCTCTTCTTCTATGACATCTACTTTGTCTTCTATACGTAAGCAGCATTGATGCCCTGTAATACAACGATTGCTAACAAGCGTCCAGGCCTATGATGGTGACAGTCGCCAAATCACTCGACGTCCCTATCAAGCTCATGTTCCCGCGACCGGCACCGGCCAACGACCCTCTCGCCGCTCCTTCGCACGCGATGCTTGGCCTAGGCGATATTGTGCTCCCCGGCATAATGATCGGTCTCGCCTTGCGCTTCGACCTGTACCTCTTCTACCTGCGCCAACAGAAGCGAACACCAGCAGCGACACAAGGAGAGGCCGATACCATAGAGAAGCCCGTGTACCACTCGCTTGCTGGACGATGGAGCGACCACTTCTGGACGCACTCGCTCATGGGCAGGCCACTCTGGACTACCTCAGCAGCCAAAGACAGCAAGCCTGAAGCGCCATTCACATTTCCGAAAACATACTTCAAAGCCAGCTTAGTGGGATACGTGCTGGGTTTGCTGACTACACTGGGCGTCATGATGATATGGAACCACGCTCAGCCCGCCCTACTCTACCTCGTGCCAGGCGTGCTTGGTAGTCTCTGGCTGACAGCCCTAGTCCGCGGCGAAATCAGCCTCATGTGGAGCTACACCGAGGAGATTGAAGACGAAGAGAAGGACAAGAAGAAGGCGGACGATGCAGACAAGCCACAAACCCAGGACAAGAGCGAAGACACCGCCAAGACGGAACCCGCGAAGCGCGTGGCAAGTCACCGGCCCGAACGCGAAGTCTTCTCCTTCTCCATAGAGGCGCCCTGGAAGCCCAAGCTGGGCGCCGAACGCAAGGAGAGTCAAATCTCCCAGGTGACGAACGAGACCATCGCTGCTAACGGCGAGAAGCACAACTGGGCGCCGTCGAAGATTGCAGCGAGCACGGAGCCGGCTGGCAAGCGCGTCAGGCTGAATTGATGAAGGCGAATTTTATCGTGGGCGTTCCTCGCCAATTGATTGAATCATAACGATATCATGCATGGGCATTTAGCATAGCGATGGCGTTTTTTTTTCAAAATCAGGTATGCAGATATACCTAGCAGCATGGAAAGACGGTGGAATATAGTCCTTGTTTTCGAAACAGTTGTTCATTCTGTGCATCTCCCCCTCACGTCTCACCACACAACCACCACATAAACATCTCATATCATCCAAACATGTCATTTTACTTCATTTCAAGGATTCATTTCCCTCCTCCCCCTCCCCTTCACCTACATCCCCTCATCCTCAATCATACTTGAAAAACGGCGGCGCCGGCCCCCTCAACGCCAACCGATGTCTCGGCCCCGGCGCGCCGCCCGGCCACGCGTCCCAATTCCACCTGGGCCCTTTGTCATCATCATCATCGTCGTCGAACTTCTTGTCGAATTCCAGCGCCAGTTTGCGCCACGCGTCGTCGGTGCCGCAGCGCACGCACATGGCGTTGTTGGGCATGGGCGGGTTGAGCCAGCCGCAGTGGCGGCAGGGCCATGCTTTTGGCATTGGTGGTTTGGGTAGTTTGCTAGAGGTGGAGTTGGCTTTTGGATATGTAGGGGGAAGGAGTGGGAAGGGGAAGGGGAGTTAGTTACTTATTAGTTTGTTGTTGGTTTTGGTATTGTTGTGGGTAATGTTTATTATTGAGTGTTTTGCGTGTTCAAGGTGTGGTTGTTTACGAAGACAAGCAAGGAGAAGGCGAGGGATTTTTATATATGCTGCTTTGTATAGCTTGTAGGCTCTGCTGGCGTCGCAGTTGGTGCGTATGGCGTTTTGACGTGGGGATGAGTGGGTGCTGGGGGGGATATGTTGGCACGAGTATGCTTTTGACAACAGTGTTTCTGGGGCTGTGGAATATGATGCTGCGGTAGTTTTCACGGACATTGTGTGTGAAGCACGGCAGTTGGCAAATATCTTGTTGTCCATTTTCCCGCATTTAATACCACGTTTTTCTTCAAGAGATATGTTGGCATAACGGCGCGGCTGACAACAGTGTCTCTGGGGCTGTAGAATATGAATTCTGCAGCCGTTGTCACGTACACTGATTCAGATTGTGTGTGAAGGGCAGCAGTTGTCGGACGTGAAGTCGTTCATTTCCCGCATTTTTTGCACTTCTCTTCAGGCGTGCCGGGGCCTTGGTTTATTTCGTTGCAGGACTGGCACTGCCATTCGCGCATGGTCATGTCTTTTGGCATTTCTTTCCTTGGCATGTGAAGGGGGTGTTGAAGAGTGTGGTGTCGTAGGAGATGCGTTTGAGGAGCCAATGCTAGGGAGTTTGAGAGAACGTACTGGGAGAATTAGAGGTGGGTGTGGAGTGGGTAAGTGGATGCAACTAACTTGGTGGTAGACGTGGTTCGGCTTTGCAGTAGAAAGTTGGACCACGAATGCGGAAGGATGTTACGTGCAATTACTTAACACAGTTTCGATAAAAGAAAGCTTCTACAGGCGTACGAAAATCAATTACGAAGTAGAAGAACGCTTCCAAGCACCTGCACTGTTCGTTTGTGCGACTAATTACTGACTGCTAACTATTGAAGCAAAGACCACGTCGATGAACAGTCAAAACAAGTTGTTTGCAGTTCCTACAAGCCGGTTTGCCGATATGACAGTTCAAACTCACACAAATCCTCAAATTGGGGAAGCCATGCGGTTATGCGGCTTGCAAACTTTCTCGGCACCCACCGCCCTGGCAGCGAGGAGGCCAGATGCGGACATGAGCTTATCTCGAAGATGCAATGACGCGTAAGGTACGGTTACTCGCGCCATGGGTATGTGAATTTTACGTTCGCTTCATGCCTGACAGTCTCGTTCGCCACTGTCTGGGGTTTTCTGGTGTCTACAGGTTTGTGAAGCCGGGAGATGTGGGGAAAGACAGTGATGTCGGCTATGCAACGATGCAACCGGTTGACGAACATCATGAGGCCAAGAACGTGTCGCGGTGCAGTAAACAGTGCACATATATAGAAATGCTGAATGCTTGAGACGGAGATCTAAAACAATCCCTGAAGCTACAAATAGTACATGTATTTGGGGGCTGTAAACAGGTAAGTCAACGCTGCGTGTCGGAGCTCGACAATCGGCCGCGAAGCCGCCGTCCCATCGCAGTTCTCGAGATGTCGGATGTGAACAACAAACACCACCTGGCCATCTAGTCCTCCTAATATTCACACCTTTGCGGAAACGAGCTCGATCAGAAGTCTATGCAATGCCCGAATTTTCATGCTCTTGAACAGCTTCCCCGACCAGGCTGGTGGCATGAGTGAGGCGTATGTTTAATCGTAGTGTACAAGTTTTGGTCCCCACAAAGCATCATTTATGCAAACATTCGCCGCCAGGGCAATGTATCCTTAATCTGTGACCACAAATCCAGACTCCAGTGCAATTTGCGCCGATACAGGACCAAGAGTTGCAACTATCTGTCTCAGGCCAGTGATGTATGTAATCTGGCCCATTATGATAACGACGTGGAAGATTTGGTGGCTCGCGCCCTGCGACTGTCAGATGGATACTCCGAGTAGCAATTTGAATCAAAGATTCTCACCCAAATGTCAAATTTCTCGGGGAAATATTTTTCAGGAAACCTCGTGACGTAGAATAATACTCCTGTGCCGTAGAACGACGCCATGCCAATAGTATGAGCAAGAGGGAAATATCCAAGAACCTCGACACCGTCGATGATGCTGGCGTGCACCATGGGGACGAACCCGCTCGCGAAAAAGGTAGCGAAGAGCACGGATCTAGTTGTGTCAGTATCAACGAGTTGAGTTGAAAAATTCTCAAACTTCTCACCTCCAAAGCTTCTTAGCATCGCCATCTGATCCAGGCGCGAGCATGACGCTGAACAAGACCAGGGCAAGGGCCACGGAAGATGAGATATAGCACAGCTGCAACTTGGGATGGTGACGCAGACCGAAGTAGGTCGAGGCAGTGCAGCCAGCAACTATGTTGAAGATGATGCCCAGATAATCGATCTTGAGCCAGCGGATGGCGACATGTTGAGAATGCGCTGTTAATGTATGGTAGCCAGCCTACAGCACATCAGCTTGAATAGTCATAACGATTGTAGAATGTGGTCTCACGGAGAAGAGGAGGCAGAGGATACATGAAATAATGTATTGCCACACAATCATCTGATCCACGTATCGTTCTTCATCCCATTGTTTGGAGAAGGCGTGGCATTCTTTGGTTAGGAGTAGTGTGTGGACAATGCCGGGTCCGAGATGCGACCAGATATTCACAAATTCATTGTGCAAGTAAAGTAGAGAGGTTACGCAGCGGTAGAAGCTGTTGAGCTGGCGTCGATAGCCGGTTTTGATGAATTGATCTGCGCGCATCCAGGGAGGAGCATCTTCTTGACGAGTCGTAGCCGTTACAGCCTTTTCGGTCTTGCTTTGCATTTTCAGGTGGTTGAGAAGAGTAGGGAATCTTGTCTGACGTGCATCTTTACTGGCTTTTCTTGGTGCGTGCAAAATTGTTTACTCATCGTTGCGACAGTCAGGTATGAAAGAGGAAATTACCGAGGCGCAAGCTGAAGGATGGGTTGGTTCCACAATAACACCTTCGAATGCATGAATTCTATTGGCTTATCTCATTATACAAAGGAGAATATGAAAGAGGCCACCCACTAATGCTGCGGCCGGTCTCGATGCAGTGGACATTGCGAAGGTACCTAGTTACCTTGCGTACGTGGCACCACATCACATCAACGTCTTCGGGCCAGGCTCCAGGGCGCCACCCTCCCAGATCCTGCGCATTGCTTCAAAGTACTCTGTACGGTATTTGGAGATATGATTGCAGTGCGGCGTACCATCGAACTCAAGCTCCCTGACATCCCAGCTCTTGCGTCGAGCATCATCTGCATGGCTCGCAATGTCATCCCAGTCAACATGCGTGTCAGCTTTCGAGAAGACGTAACATATCCTCCTACAGTTTATCAAATTTCGATCCAGTAGTGTCCTTCGATAAATTGTCTCGGGCTTCTCCCATCCAATAAGCTGAGAACCGAAGAGAACGTTGATAACAAACATGATAGCGATAGGCCCGATGATTCGCCAGAGCAGACCCTTTGGCAGTGAAAGCAGCATCGATTGAAAGGATTTCGTGTATGTGCCACGCGCGGGCCCGCTGTCGCATAAGATCCCAGTGACAGGCAGTGCATAACCGAGCTGCCTTTGCAACACAATAAGCAGCTGCGTTGCTGAGTTGGTACCGCCGTTCGAGAAGGTGTGGATCATAATGTTCGGTTTTACCGACGCGTTGCTACAGTCGTCTAGTACGGCGAGGACTACCTCTGCGGCAGGTTCAATGACTTTCCATTGTCTTTTGTAAGGGCTGGCGATATTCCAGACGGACGATTCGAGGAGTAATATCCTAGCACGAGGTGCAATGGTACGATGTCCTTCTGCATACTTTGCGATAGGCTTTTTCCCAGCTCCGAGCCAGGTACAGAGGACAACAAGTTGACCAGGCGCGGGATCCTCAGGTGTGAAAAGTGACATGCGTGGACCCAATACGTCAAAAGCAGGGTTGAGTTTTGCTGGTGAGGCCATTCTCGACGGCCGACACTTTTGCGTAGAGATTGCAAGGAATGTAATGAAGAATACCAAATCTTGACAACAATGAGAATACGAGATGGCTTATATATCGAATCGGCACTACGCTAATGTGTCCAAATCCATCTTTGATCCACAAGAATTCAGGCGTTCTGCGCTTGATCAACACCATCAATGCCCTCATCAGCTATGTACCTTTCGCGTAGCCGCCATATCCATTAGTTTGGCGGCCGACGTTTGGGCGCCTTCTCTCACGCGGAACTTCAGGTATGGTCCATCGTGCTCACAGGATACAATTGGAACTCCTGAGGACGGTGCCTAGCATACTTCGCGCCAATATAGCCCCCACTCAATCCTTCCGCCGTTGGGTCAGGGTCTCCAGATCGAGATACTACACCGCTACAGCGATTGAGTCAGCCAACTTGGTGAGTGCAAAGTTCATTTCCGAACAGACACGCGTTCCGAGAGAGAACTGATTGAAGTACTTTCGCAAGGCCGCCACCTTCTCGGCTGGGTTCGATTTGAAGACTATCCAGCGCTCAGGGTCGAACGTATACAAGTCTGGAAAGATGCTCTCATTATGGTGGAATGCGCATAGCGAACAGCCTACGTCCATTTCTTTGGGTACGTGGTTACCATCCATTCTGAAATCATCATAAGTCACCTCCCTGCAAAGAGCCGAGCTGACCAGCGACATCCTCATAGACTCGTCAATGACAGCGTGAAAGTACTTGCACGATTTGAGTGTCGCACCCCCGCGGATATCATTGGGGTCCTCAAATGTCGTGCGGATCTCATATGCCAACTCTTTGAGCACACGTGGATTTGATGCCAGGTAGAAGAAGATGTCTATCGTACCAGTCGAAGTAGTGTCTGCACCGGCAATGAGCAAGAACCTGCTCTCAGCCGCGAGCTCTGAAACATCAACTTGTTTGGACCTTTCGGATCACTGGACCGTGCTTCTTAAGGCCTTTCTCCGTCTGGATACGCAATTCGCCGAGCGGGCGACAAGGAGTCCAGACGATGGCAGAGGCGATATCTTCATGTACAGCTGGCAGGAAGAGAGACTTTGCGGTCAAGGCGAACATCTGATAGCAGATTCGGGCACCGATATGATGGCAGAAGCTGAAGTGCGCTCTTTGCGCTCTTCATATTCTAGGCGTCCATGAGAATTGACCCGGAAAAGCAGGAGGTACATAAAGTGCCCAAAGCCATCACTGCTAGACATCATCAATTCCAGAGGATCAGTGAATTCGATTTTCTGGTCATTGTCCTTTCTCTTTTTATTTTATTTTATTTTCTTCTTCTGTAGAACCATTCTTCCTCAAGCATTTTCGACCGCGATAACGCTTGATTATGCCAGCCATCTGGCTGATATTGTGGAATCTGGCGAGGTCAAGGGCGTGAGGAAGATGGTCACCATTGACGACCTCAAGCGAGCCATTCCATCCACCTGCTTCAAACCGACCTACACTAAGTCGCTATTCTTCCTCGTCCGTAACTTGCTCGTCATTAGTGCCTTTGGGATAGTCGCCTGGTCGTATATCCCGCAGATTCAATTCACTGTTCCTCGCTATGTTGCTTGGGTCTTTTACGGCTACATACAAAGACTTGCATTCACCGGTTTCTGGGTAATTTGTGTGTTCCCAATTCAGAGCAGTAATGCGGCCTGACAGCTTACAGGTTTTTGGCCACGAGTGCGGTCATGGTTCCTTCTCCCCTTCGAAATTGCTGAACAACACTTTCGGCTGGGTCATCCACTCCTCTTTGATGGCCCGGCACTTTACATCACTGGATCACATCTATTACCCAGCTCCATCACATCTATCCTGGAGTTCCACAGTATCGGCCTGAGATTTGGACTTTCATCAAGGGTGCTTTGGCAACAGTCGATCGCAACTTGGGTTTTGCTGGGCAGCACATGCTTCACAACATTGCCGACTACCACGTTATTCACCACCTTTTCTCCTAAGTGTCCTTGTCTCTGTTCAGTGCTTTCGAGAAGTTTTGTTGACACTTTTGAAGTCGCATTCCGCATTACTACGCGAAGGAAGCCACTGAAGCTATTCGGCCACTGCTCGGCAAACAATACCATGAGGAGCGCGGCAACTTTAATGCTGCCATGTGGGATTCGTTCCACAAGTGCCAGTGGGTCAAGGCAGACGACGTCGAAGGATGAGAAGGAGAGGGCGTACTGGTTCAAGGCCGGGCCAATCCCACCTCCAGAGAGAGATATGAAGAAGCGCGCCTGGATGTAAGGTGGCGCTGTTGGGAGCTCACTACTGCGAAGCCAATGTGTGAACGAAACGCAGTTCACATACCCAGATTTGGGGCGAAAGTAGAAAGGATACAAGTCCGACAAACATGAGGTGGGGTAACGAAACGACAGATGGAGTTAGCTCGGTGATGTAATAAAATTATTTGTCTCGAGACGTAGAAAAATCGATAGAAACAATATAGACTAGTACGGCTACTCAGCTTTTAGCATGTATCAGCACATAGGTCATGAATTCCAGACTATACATGTGGGAAGATGCTTCAGAGACTATGAAGAGGACGCGGAGGAAGATGCGGAGTAGTAGCGCACTGGCCAGCGATTATCAACATCCCTGTCGCCGATGCGGAGCGTCATAGCATCAATTTTCTGGAGCGCAAACAGTCACAATTCACCACGCACGACTTCATATGCCAACTACCTCTAAAATGACGTCGGAAAAGAAAGTCGCTGAAAACATGCTGTGGGGAGGCCGATTCACGGGTGAGACTTCTTCAATGGCACAATTCGTGCTTCTCTGGCTATCTTGAACTATGCGCTGACGGTCGCGAAGAGGGCCTTGACCCAGTCATGGAGCAATACAATGCTTCGCTGCCATACGACCGACTCTTCTACGCCGAAGACATCGCAGGCTCGGTCGCATTCGCGCGTGCAAATTTCAACAATGGCATCCTCACACAGGACGAGTTCGCTGCCATTGAGAAGGGTCTTGCACAAGTCAAGGAGGAGTGGGCGTCGAACAGCTTCGAAGTCAAGGCCAACGACGAGGACATTCACACGGCCAACGAACGCAGGCTGAGCGAGATCATCGGCAAGGACATTGGCGGCAAGCTGCACACGGGCCGAAGCAGGAACGAGCAAGTCGCAACAGACATGCGGTTGTGGCTGAGGGAACAGCTGCGGACGCTCGAGGGCTATCTCAAGCTCCTCATACAGACGTCGGTGCAGCGAGCCGAGGCTGAGATCGACGTGCTGATGCCCGGCTACACACATCTGCAAAAGGCCCAGCCAGTCCGCTGGTCGCACTGGATCCTCTCGCACGCAACTGCTTTTGCCAGCGAGCTCGAGCGTCTGCGTGAAGTCATCAAGCGAGTGAACCGCTCGCCGCTCGGTTGCGGTGCGCTTGCGGGCAACCCCTTCAACATTGACCGAAACGCCATGGCCAAAGAGCTTGGTTTCGAAGGCCTGCTCACAAACTCCCTCAACGCCGTGGGCGACCGCGACTTCGTCTTTGAGACGATGCAATGGGGCTCCAGCTTCATGCTCAAAATGTCTCGCTGGGCCGAAGACCTCATCATCTACTCGAGTCTGGAATTTGGCTTCATCCGCCTCGCCGACGCATACTCGACCGGCAGCTCGCTGATGCCCCAGAAGAAGAATGCCGACTCTCTGGAACTGATTCGCGGTAAGAGTGGTCGTGCTTTCGGACACATGGCGGGCTTGTACGTCACCATCAAAGGCCTGCCAACCACGTACAACAAGGATCTGCAAGAGTCTGTGGAGCCGCTCATCGATCACATCAAGACCGTCAGCGACTCGATACAAATCGCAACCGGCGTGTTGTCGACGCTGTCAGTCAACAAGGAGAAGATGCAGGCCGCGCTGGCCCCGGAAATGCTAGCGACCGAGTTTGCAGACTACCTCGTGCGAAAGGGCGTGCCGTTCCGTGAGGGCCACCATATCTCCGGCCGTGTGGTTGCGCTAGCGGAGAACGAGAATATTCCCATGGATAAGTTGAGCTTGGAGCAGCTCAAGGGCATCGATGCGAGGCTGGGCGATGATGTCGTCGAGTGCTTGGACTACGAACGTGCTGTGGAGCTGAAGAATGCGACTGGAGGCACTAGCAAGAGCGCTGTGCTTGAGCAAGTGCAGATACTGAAACAGATGCTGCAGTAGTTGATGACGTCCAGCGTTTTGCACAGTTACTACATCTACGTCGGTTGTTGCGCGGATACCATGCTTTACGAACGACATGAGATATAAGAAATAAAAGATAGGCCCGCACTCGGCGGCGTCTCGAATATTCAGAAACTACGGACACTTGTTCCCTCTCGATGCCAATTTGCACCTGCTCAATTTATCCTGTGCGAAATGTAAATATTCGAATAAATCAGGGCCCATACTACTGCACGCCGACCCAAGCCCAGGTACGTACCACACAATCAGGACCCAGCCTGCGGATCCCCACCTCTCAACTCAACGAACCATGGCTTTAATTAGCAAGCGAGGAAGACAAAAGTTATGTTTCTCCTCTCCATCCCACCTGTCATCGAATAGTCTCCAGTTGTGCCAGGGACAAGCACTCTTCGTCATGGCGCTGTCACAGGCTTCGAATATCAAGACGAGATGTATAAGCTTATGGGAGCAGAGAGATTGCACGACCTTTGTCGTCTTCATCGTATGTGCTGCAATGTAGGTCTTCATGCTGTACTGTCGTCTCTTGATCATCCACTAACACGACACAGGTGCGTGGACGGCGCGATATTCGGAGTCACCGCTCCAGTCCTTCCCTTCCTGATCCAAGATGAAGCATACGTGACCAAAGACAAAGGTACCACATATCATAGCCGAAACATGAGCTTCGCTGACGTATCACAGCTCCAAGAACAACCGCCCTCCTCAACGCCGCCTTCTCCGTCGCCGACCTAATCAGCGCCCGTAAGCCCACTCCCTCCCATCTCCAACCCACATACTAACTCCCACCAGCTCTCTGCGCCCTCTACGTCGACCACACACACTCCCACCGCACCGCCTGGTCCTTTGGCATCCTGCTGCTCATCACCGGCACCCTCCTCTTCTGCCTCTCGACCAACCTGCTCATGCTGATCTTCAGCCAGGTCCTCCAAGGCGCCTCCTCAGGCACCATATACATCATCTGCCTAGCCATCCTCGCCGAGTCCGTGAATTCGCGCATACTCGCAAGATACATCGGCCTGGCGATGAGTTGTAGTGGGCTCGGACAAGTTGTGGGGCCAGTGGTGGGGGGTGTCATTTATCAAGAGGTGAGTAATGGGAAGGGCGCGGTCACGGGGTTGGGCATGGGGTTGGCGGGGGTGGGGGTTATTTTGGTTGTGTTGATGAAAAAGAAGGAAAGAGGGACGAAGAGGGATGGGAGCGTTGTTACCATCAACAGCTCTACACATCTAACCAGTCCTCCTGCTGTCGGTGAAAAGACATCCCACGAATCCTCTCCTCCGACAAGTATCTCCGCCGCGCCAGCCATGCCCACACCACCCCGTATCTTCCGCTGGAAACACGTCTGGCACCTCGTCACATCTCCCCGCTTACTCGCCGCCATCTACGGGATATTCGTCTATGAATTGTACGTCCCCCCCCACTTTACCCCCTCACATCCAAATTCCATCCTAACGACTCAAAAAGCATAACAACAGCCCTAACCACCATCCTCCCGCTCTACACCCAATCCCTCTTCTCCTGGACCTCGACCGCCGCCGGCCTCATCTCCCTCTGCCCCGCGCTCGCCACGCTCTTCGGCCCGCCCTCCGGCATCCTCTGTGACCGGTACGGCGCGCGCGTCGTGGCTATTTTCGGCCTCGTCACTACCCTACCCTCCTTATTCTGCCTCACGCTCATCACCACTCCTTCGCTCGCCCACAAGATTTCCCTATGCGTACTGCTCGTGACGGGTAGCTCGACGCTGCAGTTCGCACTCTGCCCGCTGGCGACGGAGTTCTCGCTCGTCGCGGATGACGTGTACGCGCGCACGCGGAGCGATCTGCGGGCTACGAGTTTCTGCCTGTTGAATTGTGCGATGGCGATTGGTGGGGTTGCGGGGCCGTTTGCGAGCGGGTATTTGATGGAGGGCGTGGGGTGGAAGGGGGTTTGTGTAGTATTAGGGGGGATGTGTGTGACGGGGTTGGGGCCTGTTGTGTTTCTCACGGGGAATATGGGAGAGAGGATTTTGAAGGGGGATTGGAGGAGGTTAAAGAAGAAGATACGTGGGGGAGGGGACGCAAAAGGTGGAGGGTGGGCGGGAGGTTTGAGATTTGATTTCATGGGGTGGGATAGTAGGGGTTTTTTTTTGGATAGTAAGAGAAACGCATCAACACAGCCACTGAACTCCGTCTACGCCGTCGCGGTAGCCGTAGCTCTCGCTGTTTCCTCCGCCTTCTCCCCCGGAATATTCACCCTCATCGCCTCATCCCTCACTTTCGCCGGCCCCCTCTCATGCCCCTTCGGCACGCCCGGCACCCTTGAATTCCTGCTCTTCCCCCTCGCGCCCGGCCCTGATATAATCTTCTTCTGCCCCGCATAATCGCATCGACCAAAGTTGTTACAGAACCCCGTCTTACACTTGTTATTACTGCGGCATTTGGCGCCCAGACACGAATCGCCGGATGTGCAGCGCGTGCACACGCCCCAGTTACAGTACGAATCGACGTCGCAGTGTGAGGCTTTTTCGCAGGGGTTGTTGGGCGTTGGGGCCAGGCAGATGGGGTGTGGCGTGCGGTGGGAAAAGAGCGTGGGGAGAGAGTCGGTGTGGCATGATGCAGTGAGGGAGTTTGGGATGACTTTTGTGCTTGGATCTTGCGGGGGAGGATCGGTGCCGGTCCACTGACGTTTACTTTTGGGTTGGATGGATGGGCGGACGGAGCATTCTTGACATTCACCCTTCTCGCAGCGCAGGTGCGTCTGGCAGATCTTCTTGCTGTTGCATTGGTCGCCGATCTTTCCAGGCTGGTTGTCAATGTTTTGCTGGCAGATGCTGTTTTTGCAGATGAGGTTTGGTGCGCAGCCGTCAGCCGCGTCGCAGAGGTAGCCCTCGCAGCCGAAGGTACAGTCGCTTTGCTCGGGAATGTAGGGGTTTAGTTGGACTGCTGTGACGTTTGTGAGAGCAGCATCGGGTGGCGGGGGAAGATGCTTTGACCAATCAAAGTTGCTCCGGGCCGTGTATGAGCGCTGAAGGACGTCTTTGAGAGCCGTCCAGGATGTGAACTCTGTGCGGAGAGGATTGACGCGAGCTGTCAGACCTTCTTCCAAAGTCGTCAGATGAGAGTAAAGCTGTTACCTGTTAGCTGAAATTTCATGAACGCTGATGAGAACGTACCCATGGGATTCCCCTATAATTCAGCGCGTTCCCTTGATCGAAAATTGCCTCTTTCTTGTAGAAGTGGCCAAATTTGCTATGCACGTATGACCATTCTTCCACCAGCAGCAGCTTATCTTCACCCTTCTTCCCCTTCATTCGGGCAGTCAGCGTGTTTCCAGGCACAAACATCTTCGCCCATGAGGTGCCTGCAGTCTCCTCAAAGTCTTTCTTTGAAGTAGCCATGGATACCAATAACATCGATGGCAGCACATTCCATCGCACTGTCAGGGAAGTTCTGAATGCCATCAACGCTTTGCGGTCCGGAGATACCGCCACTAATGACTGCAATGTTGGCTTGATCTAGGCCGATGTTGAACTTGAGATGCGTGGCAATGTCGCAAAGCCAGCTTTCGCCAGCGGGAATGGGCCAGATGCCGCTGAAAGGCTGATTTTGCAGATCGACACCGAGAATGACCTCTGATAGTTCACTCCACGGCCTGCCATCAAAAGCTTGAGAAGGGTAGTGTTTGAACAGCACATCGAGGCGCTGTTTGTACAGTTCACGATCTGTCGTCGTTAGCATATTAGGCTATAGCCGGAGAGCGACGACATACATTCATCCAAGCTGTAAAAGTCGAGGAAAGCCCCTTCTAGTTTTTTGCAGTACGCGTCACACGGAACATCGGCGGTTCCACGAAGTGCGTGAGCATCGTGAGGTACGATGATGACCTTCATTTGACCTGGGCAGTATGAATACATTTCAACAACATCCAATCACCACACGCTACACACCTTTCGATATGTGGTGAATTGCAGCCATTGTCTGATCGAATTGGTCAAGTAGCGACTTATCAAAGCCGCCAAGTTCATGTTCGGGCTATAATGTGTCAGACTGGTGGCTAAAATGCAAGAATCTGCTGTCGTACATCGGAATGTTGACTGTCGGGTCGAACTGTGAAAGGGTTAGTTGCTTCATTCGACGCCAGTTTAAGGGCGACGTACTGAACAATCGAACTACCCTGACTTTGGCATCGACCAAAGCCCTAATGGTATTATCCCTGTGCTCACGGGTGAAGAATTGCAGCATGGGATAATTGACGCCGCCCCAGGAATGATGGTCTGCCGTAATGGCAAGTTTCGCTGTTGCTTGAGGCGTCCATGATGCCAAGGACAATAAAGTCGCCGCAATCGTCGTGAAGAGCATGTTGGGAAAAGTGGCCAACAAGTTCTCGACGACTTCCAAGCAACATGCGAGGCGCCACGATATAAGAACTTGAAAACTCCATATGGACACGTGTAGAAGTGACCTATAGCCAGATATCAATTATGGCCGTTAGGCCTAGTGGTGTTGCTCGCGATATTGAGGCTGGTCAAATACATTAATTGCTGTGGCGCACGAGCCAATCACAGCACGCTGACCCCGGATCTGCAGACTGGGGTGCAGGGACACCAGAGCAGTATAGCAGATCACTCCTTGTATGTCTTGACAATGCATATTGGAGGCTAGGCACATGTATGTAATTACGGTTAAGACTGAAGACCAAGTTCGTCAAGCGTGCGGACGTGGGAGAAGTCAAGTCTATAATGGAAACTCGACTATGATGAGCCTCGTGGCTTGATCATGGTCCTCTTAGAGATGATGGGGTCAACCTGTCTCTCGAGCTCATCATACTAGGTATGGCGCAGGAAGATGTCGTACCACAACGTGTTGCAGGCTCGAGCAACATATGCCTGAGCGCATCTTTCTATGGCTACGTAGGAATTCTCAACCACTTAGGTCGTCTCTGCGAGCAAGGCAAGATTATCGACGATGGCGTGCATGTCCAGATATCATGCCCAAACAGCGTTTGTTTATACCGGTGCATGGGGGTGTAGCTCGGTGCGTGTCCTAAGGCCGAGTCACTAAAGTATCGTGCGAGATAGGCGGCTCCGGGCAGAATCAATGTCGTCTCTGATAAAGCCCTGCCGTGGTCGAAACGGTCCTCACGTTCATCCTGGGGTTTTTGTGCAGGCAGCTTCGAGTCTCTTCAAGGTCGCCAATACTTCCTCTCCAAGGTCTTCGCCGCTGGCTGGCTGGGCAAAGCGGCCGTGCCGAAGGTCACTGAGCGCACCGACAACCTCTTGGACCTCTGCTAGTGCCCTGGCATTCTCGACTTCTATCTCGGCGATCTGTGATTCGAGGCTGTGGCAGGCTTCCTCGATGCTGGAGTGGACGGAGGCGAGCGTATGTGGTTTCTTGCGGCCGTTGTTGGAGAGCTGGGAGCTGGTCAGCATTGTGTTTACCGCTGAATCAGGAATATTGTGTACCTCTTCCTCCATTCGCAGCGCATTGGAATCTAGCCCAGCGACCGTGGCATCGTCCAGTTGCCGCCTTTCACTCGCGTACTCTCGTCGCAGCCGCTTTGACCTGGCAATTTCTTCGGCAATGGCGCGGCGCACAAGGTCAATGTCTTTCTCGCGTAGTCGCTGCAATTCGCGATAGAGGTCCTGTACAGCGGGGTTCGTCCTATGACCTTTGGGGAAGATTTCGGTGAATTGGCGCAGTGTCATGAAGTCGCGAAGTGGTGCGGGCGCAAGGAGGAAGTCGGAGAGAAGCTTTCCTTCTTGAGCAGACATGGTGGCAGTGAATGATGGCGAAAGCAAGCTGATAATGCCTCGGACCGGCGCTTGACAAGTCAGTGTCAGTATTGATACCGGTCGTGGACGTGGCCGAGGACGACCGCGGCGCGTCGCGTGCAGGAACGCGCTCGGACCCTCCTCAGAAAAGACTCCCGCTACATGCGCCTGGTACAAACGTCCTGCAAACTCGGGGCGGCGATTTCATCAACCAAATAAGTATTCATCAAACGAAGAAAGAGCTTGGGAAAGTGCCGCGGCATTAGCTGTTGTTGTTTGGACGCGTTGTGTGCATACGGCGCGGGTCAAACTGAGCTGACGTTGGCGTGGCCGTCACCGAGCGTGCCTCCTTCACTTCTTCATCAAACAATCTTCCGCACACAAAACATCAAACATGGCGCCCGCGGCCGCACCAGAACCGTCCTATAGAAAGGATGAGAAGGTCTTTTGCTTCCATCATGAGCTGCTTTATGAGGCCAAGGTGTTGGAAGTGAAGCCGCTGGAAGGCGAAGACAAGAAGAGCGGCTTCCAATACAGAGTCCACTACAAGGGCTGGAAAAACACGTAAGTTGTGCTCATAAACATCACGTGCAAAAGGCACTCTCACTTCACTTCCCCGCCTCAAATTTTCGATAAGAGCAGACGACGTGTTTGCCTTTACCCACATTTGTCACCTCATCTTCACAACTGCCTTGCACCATCGTCAGCATTACCACAGTTGCCGTGTTCCTTCATCGAGGGAGTTATCGATTTGGTTCCACGTCACGGATCCACAGGCTTACTTTTACAGCTGGGACGACTGGGTCCCTGAGGATAGGCTCCGCAAGCTCAGCCCCGAGAACCGGGAGCTGGCCAACAATTTGAGGCACGAAGTGATCGCTGCTCAACGTGCCGCACGAGCGCAACCTCCGCCTCCCAAGAAGAAGGCCCAAGGTTCAGCTCGAGGCAGCGAAGAGCGCCAGACCTCCGTATCTGCCGCAGCACCTCGCGGCCAGAAGAGAATGCGTGACAACGACCTCGAAAAAGTAAGTTTCTGCCTGCAATCGCTACTTGTGCAACGCCTTTCACATCACTTTTAAAGCACAGCTCGACATCAACAACGTGTGCTGTACGCGAACACGCTAACTCGTCCTAGGAGGATACCTTCCAGAACAAGCGCGCCGTGAGGATCATCATGCCGGACAGGCTGAAGAGTCTCTTGGTCGACGACTGGGAGAACGTTACCAAGAACCTGCAGCTCGTCCAGCTCCCTTCGAGCCAGCCAGCTGGCGTCATCTTGGATAAGTATCAGGAATACGCCCTCTCAACAGGCCACAAGAACAGCACGGAGCGCGACATCCTCGAGGAAGTCGTTGCCGGCTTGAAAGAGTACTTCAACAAGAGCCTTGGTCGTCTACTACTATACCGCTTCGAGCGCGAACAGTTCTACGACATCTACACACGCCTTGAGAAGCCGACCGACGACCTTGCTGGCAAGAATCTAGCCGACATCTACGGTGGTGAGCACTTGCTACGTCTGTTTGGTAAGTCTGGCGATCCTTCCTAGGAGTAAACTATATGCTGACCGAGTGATAGTGACAATGCCCGAACTCATTGCTCAAACAAACATGGACCACCAGGCCGTATCCCGCTTGCGTGAGGAGCTCGGTCAGATGACTGCATGGCTTGCCAAAGATGCCCAGGTCAACGCCTTCTTCGCGTCCGTCTACGAGAGTCCTGGACAGGCCTACATCGACAAGGTCAAGTCTAGTACATGAGACCTCTCGCGGTGTTCGCCCCCTCTTTCATTTCTGTAACAACATCTGCTTGCATTACTAGGCATCCCGGTGGCGCTGTGGCGCAAGAACGGTTGGATTCAGTATCAAATGCATGTCTCATCAACAGTTGAGTCGGTATTTGTTCGCATGCTTTGGCATAATAATACAGTTTGATTTCTATACACTTCAGTTCGGACTTGATTACGCGTCTTTGACAGCCTTCTCCAACACTCCTACAGCCCACTCCAGACATTCAGTCATATTCCCCTCGGCGCGTCTCGGCATTCCATTGATTCCAATGTTCTTGCACACACCCTCGTTCAATTCCTTCTCAACATCGCCGCCCTCGAACAAGAACTTGTGGTCCTTGACATAATTCGGCCACACCACCTTATCGACGTAACCCGGCGGATCTTCCCAGAACCCCTCGAGCGTCACGTATCCGCTCCGCGCCTCTCTCCTTGTCTTCGCCGTCTCATAACTCGTGCGCAGGAAGAGTCTGACGTCGAAAAGTGATCCAATCTCCTTCATATCCTCGGAGAAGAGCAGGAACCCATCGACTACGCATATCCTCCTCTCCTCCCAATCAGGCCTGCCCTCAAACCACGCGCCAACTCTCTGTCTCAGTTCCTCCAATTCCTTCTCGTCAACACCATGCTCGCCCACGCTGTTTTGGTCCTCTTTGCTCTTCAGCCACGCTGGGCTCGTGCCGTGCTGTTTGATGTGTTGCAGGGCTTCTTTGAGCTGGGGCAGATTGAGTGATTCCAGACAATCCCAGTCTTGGATGCCGTTGCGGATGGGGATTTCGGTGTCGGTGAGGTAGAAGTCATCAAGGTGTAGGATGAAGAGTTTTGATGGGGGAAATATGTCTCGCAATAGGCGCGAGAGGGTGGTTTTGCCTGAGGAGGAGGGGCCGGATATGCCGAGGAGGAGTGGTGTTTTCATGGTTGTGAAGGATTTGTCCACCACACGAAATGGCAGGACAGATTTTTTTTGGTCTGATTGATATATCAAATGTAACTTCATTCACAATGAACATCAAGTGCTGCGGTACCCCACGACGATACGCACGTGCTCACAGAGCGTGGGGCTTCGTCATCGGCGTGATGCTGGCTAGCGCACCGCAACCGCGTCCACATTTCTGGTGGGCAGCTTCGCGACAGCTCGCGCGTGGCCTGTACGCTTGCATCCCCCACGGCTCGACCTGTACCCCAATATGGAGCCGTCGCCTCTTACCCAGGACTCGAGGCCCGAGATCTTCCAGCCCAAGATCATCACCCTGTACGAGACGTTGTTCAAGGTGCGCGCACCCAAGTGTTCTACAGCGAACAAGGCATTAATGCTCTACAGGAAGATGAAGAAGACACGGATCTATCTGATGGCTTCTGGCAGGAATTCTTCTTGCACCGCCCCGACTCGGCCGGTCTGAAGCGCATACTCGACTCGGTCCCGCCCGACGAAATGCTGCACCTGCAGTCGCATTCGCAACAGCTCGTGCGCCGCGCCATACAACGGGTGAAGCAGGGCCGGGCACCCGCCGACGAAGTCGCACTCGAGGTACGCATGCCACCGACGCGCGACACTATCCCAGGCTTACGGGCCAGACCTTGACAGTCTTCCTAGATGCTGCTCTTACCAAAAAGTACACCAACCCGAGCTCCGACGTCATTTCTGTCCTCGCGGGGCTGAACGATGCCGATGCTGTTATGACGGACTTTATAGCGACGCTGGACACGGCGATACGCAATGGACGGAGCAGTATGTGGGAGGCGATTTGTTGCTGAGGGCATTGGGCTGACGAGAGATAGTACCGTTGCGACTCAAGGCTGTCCGGGCCACGCTGTCCATCACCGCTGCCGGCTTCCATACTGCCCTGCCTTCGTACTTTACGCACCGCGATCTGTTCCCTTCGCTCATGAAATACGTACAAGACTGTGACAGCACTGCTCAGATAATACCGGCCTTCTATCTGCTCGGTCTGCTCACCAACTACAACAAGTTCGAGTTCCAGAACCCGTATAGACTACGGTTGGACGACTTTGTCAACGATGCCATCATACAGAAAATTGTTAGGAGCTTTGGGGACACCTGTGTGAGATTGAGGGATGCGTATGTTGCTGTCCAGGACGACTTGCCCGAGGGTTGGTCGCTGGGCTCGACGTTGAGCTACATTGGCTTAGGCGCGCTTGCTCCTGGCTCGCGGCCCTCCACGCCCACGCCGGCTGCAGATGAAACCAAGTCCTTGTTCGGTGCATTGTACGTTCTCGACCTTCAGAAGAAGAATATTAGTGGCTAACGCATGTGGTAGACCAGGGCCGGAAGCCGGCATCCTCCTTTCGACATACGACTTTGCCAACGCGAACAAGGTCTTTTGCTTCAATTTGGTCACAGTGCAGGCGGAAAAGAACACGGATACTTCCCCGCTGAGCGCATACCTCTCCTTGACATCATACCTGTTCCAGCACGCACACCGCTCTACAAGAGCAGCGCTATACTCGTATCTCAGCCTCTTCATATTACAAATCTTGGTCGAAGATCAAGCGCTCGTGAAGCGAATGTGCAGCGAAGAAAGCAAGCTTTCGGTTCGGTTATGCCGCCAAAGACAGCCATACTTGCCTCTGGTAAAGGGCGACCGAGTGCCAATCACATTAGTACTGGACCTGATGATAGACGGCATCAACCACAATCTCCGGCGGCGCCTCGACGTCGACTTCTACAAGTCAGCCCCCACACTCCCCGTTACCTACCACCCTCAGCTAACAACCCCCCAGTCTCTCCCTCGGCATCCTCCTCCGCACCCTCTCCTTCCTCAGCCGCACAAAACTCCGCCTCGCATACCACTGGTCCGAAGTCTGGCGCACCCTCCTCACCTTTGTGCGCTTCCTGACCACCTACGAAAGCGACATCAAATCCAACTACAAGTCCACCTCCATGACCACCCTGCTAACCAACCTACTCGCCTTCGCGCTCTCTGCCGGCGAAAACTTCCTCCCCGACCCCGCCGCCTACGACGACCTGTTCTACAAACTCACCGAGTCGGGCGACGTGCTGGTCAAGTTCCGCGACGCGTTCGGCACCAGCGGCGCGCTGAACAGTCTGGTGAATGTGTCGCGGCATTACCATGCGCTGCTCGAGGGCGAGGGCGGCAAGGGCAGGAGCAAAAACCTCAGTCCCAAGGAGGTCAGTGATGTGATTAAGCAGGGCTACGAGACGCTGAGTATAGACACGACCGAGGGCCTGGACGCGTGGGACAAGTTCCGCGAGGCGGATTTTAAATCCGTGGTCAAGCGCGCGGCGAGGGTGGTTGTCGAGGATGCGAAGGCGCTGGCTGATGAGGTGTAAGAATGAATCATATACCTATTTGTATATATGTTATAGCTAGGGATGGGTTGCGGGGTCCCACATGTGCTGTTCACTCCACAGGCTGTCGCGCTTTTCTCCTGGGGTGCTTATTGGTTGGGCTAAGGCTGGCCCAGACGGATAGGTCACGTCAGCCAATGCATGTGATGGTCGCTATGACGACGGCGCAGGGTAGGCCAAGGGCAGATTTGGATGGAGATATCGATGGTAAGGTAGGCATCGTGATTTGCCTAGGATTGGGTTGTTGGACAGGATGAGGAAACAATGATGATAGTCTTGAATACTCCAAGGGCAACAGAGACGATGAATGCGTGTATATGGTCTAGAATGTGTGTGCACGTGAACCTTTTACTTCTCGCCCTGCTTCTACCATGCAAAAAAATCAACAAATTCAAATCAACTGGTGTGCTAGCTAGCTCCTTGCTTCCAGGTACTCAAACTTTGGCTCGCGAGGAAGTGCCGATACCTCGGGCGATCTTCCTTCCACAAGTCCGAACTCTTGGGGCGCATGCTTGCGAGTATCGCGTGGCTGCGAACGGCTGATCGTTACCACAGATAGTCTCTTGCAACAGGGCCGATATTGCCATGGATTAAATACTTCGCTTGCAGCAGTGAGCCGGAACAACTTGCCGGTGTGGCTGGGAATGAGTGGTACTCCTCCAGCTTGCCGGATTGGGTCGTTGGTATAGTGCGATGGGGAGGATGAACATGCCGATTGAAGCTCAGCATGAAAGTACCATTAATCATATCCCCAAACTGAAATTTCTGATCCCAAATAAATCCAAACCTGCAATTCAAGCGCGTGCAGTTTCCCCCCGTCGTCGCGGCCGCGGCTGCGGCTAACCCATGGATCCGGAGAAACGGAACCTGTGCAGCTTGGGTGAAGCGAGCATGAGTGGTGGGCCCAGAACAAAGCGTGCTACCCAGTCAAGAAGGAATCTTTCGTCATATTCCATGTCCCCGCAGGACACGAGGGGTAAAAGGGATCGGCCTGAGGCCACCATACGCGCTTCATAAGACGTGGTTCCCGTTGCCGTTCGCCCTGGAACGAGAAGGTATATATATATACTGTTTTTGTTTTCTTTATGCGACTCCTCTCCGAAAGGAAATCCCCATCTTGATTTATCTGAGAAATACACACGAGTGGATTGGACGGGAAACGACTGAATTGCGGAACTATAATCCAGCACGCTTCAATTTGGGTCGCGCCGCTTTCAAGCGTCCTGCCGAGCCCTTTATCCGGTAATTGAGAAACATATATCTAGCTCTGGAGAGCTTTGCCCTTGGATTCCCGTGGCTCACATAGCTTCGCAGCATCTTCCCTCGCAGCAACTCCGCACACGAACAGCTGAAGCGCGCCGAAAGCGACCCCTCCAACACACACCTCGCGAGCCATGTCTGAGGGCAACACGAAGCCATCCGTGCCCGTTGTGGCCGAGGCGCACGATGTCGACACTTTCCATGTGCCCAAGGCATTCCTCGAGTGAGTCTGCACTTTTGGTTTTTGTTTGGGACATTGCATCATGGCGCGAGACTATGACAGCTGCGGCGTCATGCGAGCTTCAGTGCGGGGTGACCCCGCGACTGCGGCATCGCGATCGCGAACCACACAATGGCGAAGACGAACCACACAATGGCGAAGAAAGAGTGACTAGAGCTGACAATTGTGCGTCGCAGGAAACACCCGCATTCAAAACCGCACATCAACGGCCTCGAAGAGTACCAGAAACTGTACAAGGAATCCATCACAGAGCCCAAGCAGTTCTGGGGCCGTCTGGCGCGCGAACTCCTCACGTGGGACCGCGATTTCCAAACAGTGCACTCTGGCAGCTTCCAGGGCGGCGACAATGCGTGGTTCCTCGAGGGCAGGCTGAATGCCAGTTATAATTGTGTCGACCGCCATGCGTTCAAGAACCCGGATAAGCCGGCCATCATCTACGAGGCTGACGACACCGAGGATGGCCGCATCATTTCGTACGGCGAGCTACTGCGCCAGGTCTCGAAGCTGGCGTACACGCTGAAGGAGATGGGTGTGCGCAAGGGAGACACTGTTGCGCTGTACCTGCCCATGATTCCCGAGGCTGTGATTTCGTTCCTGGCGTGCTCACGTATCGGTGCGGTGCACTCTGTCGTGTTTGCTGGTTTCTCGTCCGACTCGCTGCGCGACCGTATCATTGATGCGGAGTGCAAGGTTGTCATTACCACGGACGAGGGCAAGCGTGGCGGCAAGGTCATCAGCACGAAGAAGATTGTCGACGAGGCGCTGAAGCAATGCCCCGGCATCAGCCACTGTCTCGTGTACAAGCGCACTGGCGCCGAGATCCCATGGACCAAGGGACGAGACTGGTGGTGGCACGAGGAGGTCGAGAAGTACCCCAACTACATTGCTCCCGAGCCGATGAACTCGGAAGACCCGCTGTTCTTGCTGTACACATCTGGGTCGACGGGTAAGCCAAAGGGAGTGATGCACACCACAGGTGGTTATCTCCTGGGAGCCGCGGCGACTGGAAAGTACGTCTTTGACATTCATGACAACGACACTTTCTTCTGTGGTGGTGATGTTGGCTGGATCACTGGACACACATATGTCGTATATGCCCCTCTGCTGCTCGGTGTGGCGACCGTCGTCTTCGAGGGCACACCTGCTTACCCCAACTTCTCGCGGTACTGGGATATTGTCGACAAGTACAACGTCACTCAGTTCTATGTTGCCCCCACTGCGCTGCGACTGCTCAAGCGCGCCGGTGACGAGCACGTCAAGCACCAAATGAAGCATCTCAGGATTCTCGGATCCGTCGGCGAGCCCATCGCTGCTGAGGTGTGGAAGTGGTACTTTGAGACTGTTGGAAAGGAGGAGGCACACGTAATCGACGTAAGTTCCGGATTGGAGACTTTGTGAGCAATATGCTGACGTGCAACAGACTTACTGGCAGACGGAGACCGGCTCGCATGTCATCACACCGCTCGGTGGTGTCACACCCACAAAGCCTGGTTCTGCATCACTTCCCTTCTTCGGCATCGAGCCTGCTATTATCGATCCTGTTTCGGGCGAGGAGATCCACGGAAACGATGTCGAGGGCGTGTTGGCGTTCAAGCAGCCATGGCCAAGTCTGGCTCGCACAGTCTGGGGCGCACACCAGAGATACATGGACACATATCTGAACGTGTACAAGGGCTACTACGTGAGTGAAAAATATACAATCAGAGGACTATACTGATCAAAGCAGTTCACTGGAGACGGTGCCGGACGTGACCACGAGGGTTACTACTGGATCCGAGGCCGCGTCGACGATGTCGTCAACGTCTCAGGCCACAGATTATCAACCGCTGAAATCGAGGCAGCACTCATCGAGCACCGTATGCAACCCGCTGATGCCAAGCCCCTTAACTCCGTCCGCTGACACAATACGCAGATTCTGTGGCTGAGGCCGCGGTGGTGGGTATCAATGACGAATTGACAGGCCAGGCTGTGAACGCCTTTGTGGCACTCAAAGACGGCACCGAGTCAAGTGACCAGGTGAAGAAAGACTTGATCTTGCAAGTGCGCAAGTCGATTGGACCCTTTGCGGCACCCAAGGCGATCTTTGTAGTTCCAGATCTGCCAAAGACCCGGTCGGGCAAGATTATGCGTCGCATCATGCGGAAGATCTTGGCGGGAGAGGAGGACCAGCTGGGCGACACATCTACGGTAAGTGATTCTCCCTCTCGCGGTGGTTGCTGGGCAGATGCTGGTGACGCGTTCTGTGGTGGGGAACCCGGGCTAACGGCAGCTGCAGCTCTCGGACCCTTCGGTAGTGGACAAGATTATCGAAATCGTCCACCAGTCTAAGAAGAAATAGTCGCGCTTGGGGAAGTATGTTGAGTTAGTCTATTGGTTGGGACGGTGGAGGGCTTTTTTTTTGGGTTGCCGCAAGCACTGTGTGCAGTGTTTACTAAGTATTCTGTTGCGAGACTCGAGAGGTCGGAGGAGTGGCGGTGCAGGGTCAGACAAGCTCTTTAGGGCTGATGATGCCGCAATAGCCGTGTATGGATAGGCCTTGGTGTTAACCGCAACGCCGTTTTTAGCATGCCCTCGTTGTCCAGTCAGCACTGTGAACGTGAAGCAGCTCAGCTGCGCCGCAACAACGCCGCGGTTATGTGGGAAAGCTGATAGTCCGCGGCGTTAAAACATGCGCCCAGGAGCGACTCTATGGTAGCAGGGAGGGTGACAGCAGTCAAGAACGCGGCAACAGTTTCATTCGTGTCGCGGTGTCGTGCCCAGGCCCCGTCCCTCCGCCATCCGAACACGCCAAGCGACTCCGAACAGGCCGGGGCCGGCTGTGCAGAACGATTACGAGTCTCCATTGTCACTCGCCATCGTGCTTCTGCTCACATCTTTCTTTGCCGCCCGTTAGTTTGTTCTTGTTATTGTCCATTCGACTTCGTGCCATACCCCCGCCCAATGTCTTTCGCTGCATTGTTGTAGTTTTCCGCTGTTTTTCGTGTTCTCTCCCATCCAAACAACAAACGGGGACCCCTTTGCTTGACAGACTGCTGGATCCATCCGTACACCACACGTCATGTTAGTGCTGCGAACAGCGGCAGCCGCTGTTGCTGTCGCACTCGCCACATTTACCGCCGCCTCGTCGACGACGCGCGACCCATTACGGAGAATAAACATTGCGAAGAATGCCGACATCCTGACCCAGAATCACCGCGTGACGGCTGTGTCGACGTTCGATGTTGCCTTTGATGTTGCTGGGCAGCGCATCCGGCTCAGCCTCGAGCCAAACCACGACCTCTTTGTAGACGGAGGCCGGATATCATATCTCGCTGCGGACGGCAGCATAGCGCGGCAGGACCCCATTGACCGCCTGCAACACAAAGTCTTCAAGGGCACCGCGTCCGTGAAGAGGGGGAACCGCTGGGACAGTGTGGGATGGGCGCGGATAGGGATACGGCGCGATGGACTGCAGCCGCTGTTCGAGGGCCACTTCACCATATCGCACGACCACCACCACATCAAGCTGTCGTCGCACTACAAGGCAATGCGTCTGCCCGAGGACCCCGACGTCGACATGCGCGACGACGAGTTCATGGTTGTCTTCAGGGACTCCGACATGGGCGTGTGGGATGAGCACTCGGAGCTGAGGAAGCGCGAGGCTGGCCCGAGCATGCCTCAGCGACGAGCTGAGCTTCAACAAACGGGACGACCATCCCGTATATGCTTCGATGCGCGCCCGCGATGAGGGCAGCTTCTTCTCGACACCCGTCTCCAACATCTTTGGCAAGCGACAGCTCGACGGCCAGCCCGGAGGCAATGGTGCCGGTGTCAACCTAGTGTCGAGCATTGGCAGCACGGCTGGATGCCCGAGCACCCGCAAGGTGGCACTCGTTGGAGTAGCAGCCGACTGCACCTACGTCCAGTCGTTCAGCAGGGACAAGAACCAGACGCAAACGAACATCATCAACCAGATTAATCAGGCATCTGAACTTTTCGAAAGCACCTTCAACATTTCTCTCGGCCTAGCCAACTTGGTTGTCACCGAGCCCGACTGCCCGACCACGCCACCGGAGGCCACACCATGGAACCAGGCTTGCAGTAGCAGCGTCACCATCCAGGACCGTCTCAACCAGTTCTCACAATGGAGAGGCACGCAGCGTGACCAATACTCCCACTGGACCCTTCTCAGCACATGCAACACCGGTTCTGCTGTTGGCCTGGCATGGCTCGGTCAGGCTTGTACCGATGGCTCTCAGAGGAACGGAGGTGGCGGAGAGACTGTTGCTGGCGCCAACGTCGTCATCCGCACCTCGACTGAGTGGCAAGTCATCGCACACGAGACTGGGCACACTTATGGCGCTGTGCACGATTGCACGCAGGATCAATGTTCAAACCAGAACCTGGTCAGCTCGCAGCAATGCTGCCCCCTCAGCGCCCAGACTTGCCCCGCTGGCGAGGGTTTCATCATGAACCCCTCGACTGCGCGGGGCATCACGCGCTTTTCTGCATGTTCCGTCGGAAACGTCTGCTCAGCATTGGGACGCAACAGTGTCAAGTCAGGCTGCCTCACAAATAACAGGGGCGTCACCAGTGTCACTGGTCAGACATGTGGAAACGGTATCGTCGAGGGCGACGAGCAGTGCGATTGCGGTGGATCAGCTGGATGTGGCAACAACCAGTGCTGTGACCCTCAGACTTGCAGATTCAAGAGCAACGCCGTCTGCGACGATTCCAACGAGGACTGCTGCCGCGGCTGCCAATTCGCATCCGCCAACACAGTCTGCCGCCCCAGCGCTGGCGGTTGCGATCCACAAGAGACTTGCAATGGAACGAGCCCTTACTGTCCCGAGGACAAGACCAAGCCAAATGGAGAGAGCTGTGGTGACGGATTGCAGTGCGCTAGTGGCCAGTGTACATCCCGTGACCAGCAGTGCAAGACTGTCATGGGCAGTTATACCCAAGGCAACGACACATACGCTTGCGACAACAGCAATTGTATGCTCAGCTGCGGCAGCCCGGAGTTCGGCCGTGGTACATGTTACGGTCTTCAGCAGAACTTCTTGGACGGTACTCCTTGCAGTGGCGGAGGTACCTGCCAGAACGTAAGTTTTCCATCATTCAACTATCATCACAACGCATACTAACAACACCACAGGGTCAATGTGCCAACGGCTCCGTCGGCAAAGAAATCAAATCCTGGATCGACCGCCACCTACCCCTCGTCATCGGCCTCTCCGCCGGTATCGGCGGCACCATCCTCCTCTGCATCCTCTGCTGCTGCTTCAGCTCCTACCGCCGCCGCTCCAAGCAAAGGAAGTACGCGAAGAAGTTCGCCGCCTCAGCTGCCGCCGCACCACCTCCGCCTCCTCGTCAAAGAAGCCATCGCCATAGAGGTCCTCCCGGGCCTAGGCCTGACGGTGCGCCGCCCATGGCTCAGACAGGGCCGAGTCCATCACAAGGCCAATGGGGCCCTAATCCTAATCATGGTCCACCGCCAATGCAGAGTCCGCCGCCGCTGTATCACAGCAATTCCCTGCGGTATGCATAGTAGCCGTAGCTCTTTCTCTTGACGACTCTTTTTCACGATCTTTTGTTATTTCAGATACCATGGCATAAAAGACCTGGTCCGGGGCGTTTTCCGCTGCTGCATCGTTGCTGGGCGTTGGATTGGGATTCCATGGCTAGAACAGCCCTTTTTGCATAAGTCGGATGGAAGGGAAAGAGATTTAGGCTCTTGGTTAGGTGGGACTGAGTAGCTAGTTATTATATAGTATAGGTCTATGCACCAGCAGAGCGCAAATGGACGCATTCGCTTCATCTCCATGTCATCTTTTTCTTTTCATATCTGAACTACCCGCCCTTCTAACACGACCTCCCCTGTGCTCCCGCACACTCACCCTCGGCACAACAACCACGCCCCTCCTCCCCACATCCTCCCACACAAACTCATACTCCTCCTCTTGTCCACACAACCACACCCTCGTCTCAAGCGCAAGTTGCATAACGCGTACAAGGTCAGACTCCCTCTCCGCCTCATGCGCCATGGGAAGCGCCCAGGCAAAAAAACACAGCGCAAACCCCTGCGCCGCCTCCACCAACGCCGTCGAAAAACGTTCCGACGTGGGACCAGCAGTATACAACCCCACCGCCAAACGACGATGCAGGCATCTCGCCTTGGCCATCGCATCTCCTCCGTGAGTATGGGTATGGGTGTCAAAGCTCACCAGTTCGCGCGGCCATATTTCCCCGTCAACGGGATCTGTGATGCGGAGAATGTGTGCGGCGAGGACGTGTTGCAGGACAGCTGTTGGCGCGGGAGTGTCTTGGAGGAAGGGGGCTACATGGTCGCCAAACACGGCGAGGGCGGAGTGCATGCTCGGGGTGATGGGGGCGGGCACGTCTCTGTAAAACGTCGTGATGTGCGTGTGTATTTGCGCGAAGAGGGATGTGAGGCGCGAGTGGATTCGGCTGGGTGATGCGGGCGCGGGTAGCAAGGAGAGATCTATGTCTCCGTTCCCGACGAGTCTGTTGGGGAGAGGGCGAGATGCGGGAGGCTGCGGAACGCGCGTGTATTCTGTGTGCTTCCCCAACTCCACGGAGGAGGAGGAGAAGGCGGTGGGTGTGTATTTGGCTTCAGAAGTGTTCTGGGAGCGGTGTTTGTGGAGGAGGTATGCTATCATTGAAGCGAATAGGGCGCCGAGGATGAGGCTGGTTGGATGGTTAGCTGGATGTGTTGGCGAGATGGATGGGGGATTTACGCTCCGATGGCGATGCCGGCGACGGCTCCGCTGGTGAGGTTTGTGGTTTTACTTGGAGAGGAAGAGATGGGCGCGTCGGTTATGATTGCTGGAGTCTGGGAAGGTGTTGAAGAGGTTGTTGGAGCGACATTGATATTCGAAGTCTGTGGACTGGCTGTTCCCGTGGGACTTGTGTTTGTATCTGTCGCTTCTTCTGAAGTACTTTGCCATGTCCAAGGTAACTTGGAAACTACGTCTGTTGTGAAAGTCGGTGGTACTACTGTCAGAGTTGGCGCTAGATTTGTGAAGAGACTGAATGTCGCAGTCTCGTGCCTGTGGTATCCCGTTCAAGAATCTGGTGTTTTGACGCTTCTCCCACATGCCTTCACGGGATCACGACTTAATGCCATGAATGAATGAAGAGAAGAGAAAGAATAATCGAAATCCATACAACTGCGGGGATATACCGATACACAGTTGAAGCCAACATCAGGCATCCCAGTGCTCAGCCGCATCCTGTTTTAAGACTCCGCCTCACTCCAAGTCAGCACGATGCACACAGGTCTACACACCATCTTGACTGAATTTGTATTATTGCTTGATCTACTATGAAGCTTATTTTCGCACGACAGTACCGTCCAATGGTGTATGGGCGCGGATAGTGGATGATCAGTCACGGTCGTACAAAGATGTACGATCGGCATTGGTGTGGTGGAGCGAAGTTGGGGGCTAGCGTCAGTTAGGTGGATAGCCTTACGGACAGGGGTCAGGGCACCCTGTGAGTACAAGGGGCCTTACGATTTGATAGATGTAGTAGTCTTGGAAGGAAAGGGCAAGGGCTTCCAATACTGCTGATCGCGAGTACAGGCTGAACGAAGTGGCGGCGCTGGCCGAACCCACGCAAAACACCTTTGAATGTCAACGGGCTGTGATATTGGGATAGAGAACGAGATTTTATAGAGTGAGCTGGATGTTTTCATCCTAATCTTATGAGTTCCTGCTGTTTCATATTGCTTCTATGTTGTGGTTCTCGATTCTAGCGCCTCCGCTTCGGCCTGCGCCCCCACAGGTACTCCAGGCGAGCCATGGCGCTACTCATACAGTAATCGGACGCTAATGTGTCGAATTTTGGCACATATTATGGTTTGCTGGTTAGACTATTTTGCCATCAATCTGGGGTCTCGGCAAAAGTGCGTCATTTGCGACTACATTCGCTTGTTCTTGCCCCGACCATGGTACGGCAATCCAGGGTCCTCGAGATTCTGCTATTCAAGTACCGTCTCGGCCTGAATAAACTTCTCTCCTTGGCAAAATCCTACGTTTTGCCAGCTACAGCTATGCGTCCTTCTTTGTATAGATGTCACCCTTTACGTAACAAAAGTTAGTTGTCAAGTTTCCTGCAATGATGACTTCGTTGCTTGTGCACTCTGCATCCATCCGCTCTTTTCTATGCGAGCCATTCAGGGAGGATAAATTTGGAGCAGGGATTTCGATCTTGGGGTCTTTGGGGCCAGACTAAGACTCCAAGTGTTGGGATGAAAGGAACTCAGAAGGAGCGTGTAGGCAGTGATGAATTGCACATGCAAAACCTGAGCCCACAACAACCTCACTGGCCTATTGGGAGTAGAGATTATCGAACAAGGAAGAAAGACAGATGATGGGATTGGATTAGTCTTTTGTCAAGTAGATGTAACATCTACTGAAGATTGCCAACCAGCGGAACCACGCTTTTCATCACGAAAGAGAAATGTAAGCTTTTTACTTAGGCAATGAGCATTAATATTAGTTTCGAGACCACAAGAGGCTGCATCTGGGTGCGGCCCGTCGCATGTGCCGTAAACATCCTCAGGGACTTGTTCACATCAGAAAAGAGGGCCTGTCTTCAGCACTCCATGGTTGTGTATAGAATCAGAAGCAATGTTTAAACATTGGCAGAGACGATACAGTGGAGCTCCATGTTTATATTCGAACACAGGCTAGCAATACTGCTGTACACAATACATGCAAGACCCTCTAGAAACCACCAATAATACTCGGAAGCCCACCAGATGGTATGACACCCAGTGATGAGGCTAAACTAGAGCGATAAGTACACCCCTTGGTATGGTAGCTCTGGGTGTGTTTGATCAACACTATCAAGCTACTAACGCGACTGCAATCCGAGTGTGTTAAGCTTGGCTGCAGAAGATGGGTATGTGATCGAGATTGCATTTTACTTCACGCCAAGAGCGGTGCGGCTGTTGCAAACTCAAACGGCAGGCATTATTGTGAGCTTGTTAATACGATAACATTCTTCCGGTAACTATAGTCTCACGTGGTTGCAGTTTCAAGGACAGGTTTTCATGAACCAAAGATCGGATTTTGTGTAGTATTGCTATAGATCTCGATCGAGAAATTGCTAGAGCTCATCGTAATCTCCACTAGTACCCCCCATATGACCAACGAGCCAAACGACTGCACCAAATGCATCCGTCAACATTCCGTCGCTCGAGTCAAAAGCTGATTTTACGACTATTCTGGCAACGTACGGTGAGAGGGCTGTCGCATCGCCATCTCCCTATATCGCACTGCGGTTGCCATCCTTGCTTTCTTGCCCCAAATAAGTAGCGGAATGGGAAGCAGGAGTACCGCAAAAATAATGAATGCAACCAGAATGTGCACATTCTGTATTCCCATACCGTTGGTCCATGGCGTGAGCGAGAAAAGTACAACAACAGAGAGCACGTTTCGAATGAATACGACACCAACAAGAGCATCTCCAACAAGCTGCGATATTCACTCGTTAGCATGGTTGTTGTATGTGGAGAGTGAGGGAAAGATCCTCAGGGAAACTTACCTCTTGATAACAGTCGGTGACATATGCCAAAGCAATGTCGTTTACCAGGAGGAAATTGAAGCCGAAGATACCGAAAGCAACAGCCAAAACGGCCCAATGAGCGCCCTGTATCGGATGTTAGCTGGTCGTACCGATTTGACCTGAATATGCAGCTGCTCACATGGGACAGTCCAACACCAAACATTATGATCGACCCTGGAAGCAGCACAATGGACGGCAGAGATACCCAAAGTCGCTGTTCTGGCTCGTAAATTCCACCATTACGTTTTGATAACCACACAATCAACTTGTCGTTGAAGTAACCACCAAAGAAGAATCCGATACAAGCGCCAACGAACGGCGCAACGTTCATGAGCCCTACGCCTTCCGAACCGAAATTGTATGGTGGCTGAAGCAGATAGATGGCTTGTACCGAGGTTAGAATGGCGAAAGATGCCAAAATTGTGCCATAGGTGACAGCTGCAAATGCCACAGCTGGGAAAGTGAAGAGAAGGACAACCGGCTGCCAGAAGTGTTGCTTGATGGGTCCTGACGTAGTCGTTAATAGTGCCATCCTTTGGCGATACGTCTTCCGAGGCATGGTAGTGTCGATCCTTGATTGTATCCTCTCCATTGGGTCTTGGTGACTATCGTCATCTTGCTTTGCAGGCTTTTGCGTGTCGTTGCCTTCGCCTTCATCAAGCGATCCGGTCATTTGAGGCGCTCCATGACCATTGAGCACAGGAATGTACTTTGATTCTTCGAAGAGGAACATGACGAGGAGCAGATTGAGAACCAGAAAGATCACACACCACCACCAGATCCATCTCCAGCCTTGCGACTTGACGACGTATTCCGGAAGCTACGGGGCCAAGAAAAGCACCAATTGATGTGAAGATCAAGTACCATCCGGTTCATGGTTCCGTGCTGATGGACAAAGAAGATATCTGCGATGGTAATTTGGACAACTGTCTCGCTGATGGCACCGCCAAGTCCTGCGAGAAGGTTACTGCCCATCAAGTCGCCGAAGTTGTTGGTTTTGGCCAGCCATATGACCGAGGCCAGTTGCAGGACGGAGCTAATCAGATACAATAACCGCCTTCCGTGCTTGTGGACTAGGGGAATGAAAAAGATGCATCCCACGGCTAGTCCGCCATAGTTCATTGCGGCGCTGGCGTTCAGCTGATCGACACTGAGCATGAGCTCTTGCTGCATAGGGCCCCAAGCAGTGAAGCCAATGTCGAGTTGCACAAAAGTCCAGAGTACGTAGAAACATACGAGTCCATAGTTCAACGTTTTGCGTGCCGTGGGTCCAATTCAGCGGATCATCGGGGTCAGAGGTTGGTACAGGCTGGAGGATGAGCCTTGGTGCCTCATCTGACACTGTGAACATATCATCAGTATGTCATATTAGCGGTATAGCGCGAGATCTTACACTTCTCCAGTCTCACAGTACCAGGCGCCCAGAAGGTGCTATCCTCTTCCAGCTGTGGGTGGGCGGGTTGCTCATTGTCGCACTATGTGTTGAGCCCCTTTAGAACAACGCGTACTAGAAGAATGTCGATGCTTGAGAAGGCAACACGTCTCGAATAGGTTGCAGCGGATGAATTACAATGATGCGATGAGATGCTGTCTTCAACTCACGCGCATCTGGTCGTACATATAGAGGAGAGTGCATGTCCAAGTCCCTACGCTTCCGCTACCAACCTTTTTGGCATGGAACGTCTCATGTCCGTTCTTGATAAGCGTGTGGGTAAAATGAGGGGAAACCTGTCGGGCCTTTGAAACGTATCAGGCCAATTATGTGGCAAGGTGCATGCCGGCTTGCTCGCCGTCTGAGCGCGGCTTCCGTTCTCACGAGCTAGCGACGCGTTAGCGGCCGCAACACAGACATCGGTCTCACATAAAAGGTGTTACTTCGCATAAATTCTTCGCGAATCCTTGAGAAAGAGACGTGGGCGGTGCGTACGCAAAAGATAAGCCACAACGGCGGCCCGATCAGGCAAGTCCATCCGACAGGGATAGATATTGGAATTTCGTTGGAATCTTCTTTCCAAGACTCCTTCTCCTACGGCCGAAAATATCTTCTACACATTCGCGAGAGATCGTCGCGACAACGATTTCCATCCAATAATTGTCCGTGCTTTGTGGCCGGAGGACATGAAGTTTGTCGAGATGAGTAGCCACGTCTCTTCCCGACAATCTGGTAGTCTCCAAAAAAGCCTTGGATGGTCCAAGCCACGGGCTTCAGGGTCATTTGTACACAGCCCTTAACATGAGGCCGAAGCTAATGTGGCAGAGCTCGGGCTTTGTTGCAATACGCGAGTACGCGCGAGCCCAGAACTTTATGTTGATAAGCGGGCGATAAGGGTAACGGGAGGAATGAACCCGTGGACAAATGTCGCACGGCAGCTGTATCTTTAGGTCTCAGCCATGCGATATCGCTCAGGTAATTCCTGGTATCTGGTCACATGAACCAGCGGCATGGAGCTCCGGCATATCGAGAAGCATTTTGCACAAGAAAGACTATCACGACCACGCATGGTAAATCCCTGCTTGCCGGCATATCGTGAAAGAAACTACGCCAGATCCGGCATGCCCATGCGACAGTACAGCCGCATCTGCCAAGGCGGTCGCTTACCCCACACTTCGCGACCCCAGACGGCTTCATGCGACCGTAGCTGTGTCTTATCATCGAGATACCGTACAACCTTGTACAAGAGAGCGCCTGTAAAAGCCGGCGCGGGAAGTGAAGCGGCAGTTGAACTCTGCTATTGCTATGCTATACAGCTCCCAAGTGTCCAAATTACAAAGCAGCTAGGTCATATACCGCGCCTGTCCATTTCCACCTCGACAGAACAATTCCAATTTTGTTCATACCTTTCCTATGGCTTCTTCAACTTGGCAAGAAAAAGCCGCTGCGAAGCAGCAATCTTCATTAAACAAGATTCCGAAACAATGGCGACTTCCAGCCGCCGTCACGGAGACGCTACAGAAGCCGCTCGCAGAACATTCCAATCGCATACTTGAGCTGGACATTCCGCGCAAGTCGGGCATCATGAGCGACAAAGAAATAGAAATCACCGAGAATTTCACAGTGGAAGAGTTGTTGAACAAGCTGAGAGACGGCGTCTTTTCCGCCCTCGAAGTCACATTGGCCTTTTCAAAAAGAGCTGCGCTGGCGCAGCAACTGGTACGGAACCTTTTCGAAACCTTGGCACATCGAACTGCTGGCAAGTATCTCTAGCTAATGTAATTGCTAGTTGTCTTGTCTCACAGAGACATATTTCCCCGAGGCAGAGGAGCGTGCCCGCTTTCTCGACAGCGAGCGAGCACAGGGCCGTATTGTTGGCCCTCTTCATGGGCTTCCAATTAGCGTCAAGGATGGATTCCAGATCAAAGGTTCACAAGCTACTATCGGCTTTGTGTCCTTCCTGGATCGAGTTTCAGACAAGAACTCACCATTGATCGACATTCTGATCGAGCTTGGTGCAGTCATCTACGTCAAAACCAATATCCCGCTGACACTTATGACCGCTGACTCGGAAAACAACATCTTTGGGCGGACATTGAACCCGCACAACACAAGCCTTACTGCAGGTGGTTCCAGCGGTGGCGAAGGGTCGCTCGTTTCATTCAGAGGCTCGCCACTTGGAATTGGAACAGATATCGCAGGATCAATTCGCATTCCTTCACTATGTTGCGGGACTTATGGCTTCAAGCCTACAACCTCACGCATCCCTGACGGAGGCCAGGCTTCACCAGCCTCACCCGGTCTAGACTTCTTCCTTCCTTCTGCCGGACCGATCGCCAACGACATACACGCACTCGAGATTTTATCGCGTACCGTCTTATCAGCAAGGCCGGCGCTTCACGATTCCACGGCGCTCGACGTTCCATGGCGACAGCTGCCACCTCCCGCGCCATCTGCGAAACTTCGACTTGGACTGATCTCCGAGGATCCTGTGTTCCCACTACACCCACCCGTGAAGAGAGCACTGGCAAATGCTGCGAAACTCCTGGAAGCACAAGGCCACCAAATTATCCCCATACCCGCGGCTCGTGCACACGTCGCCGACGCTCTCGCGGTCGCATGGGAATACTTTGGTCTCGATGAACTATCTTTCACCCACATAGAAGCGAGTGGTGAGCCCTTGGTCAATTCAATCATCGAGGGCGGAAAAGCGTACGAGAGATTCAAGTCCGACTTCTGCGCAGACATCGCCAGCTTGCAAGGCACTGCCCGGATTGCCGCTCTCAACGTGAAGAGGCACGCCATCGCCGAAGACTGGCGAGCAATCTGGAAAGAGGAGCGACTTGATGGTGTGTTTGGACCGGGTGCGCAGAACACGGCGATACGACATGACATGTATGGAATTCCACCGTACACGCTTTTCTTGAACACTCTTGGATGTAAGTCTTCACGCTCTTCGTACGATCATCACTTGATTGGAGCAAAGATTGCTGACACCAAAGCAGTACCCAGCGGTTATTATTCCTTTCGGCAAGGCGTCGAAAGAGCTTGATCCCGAGCCGATGACGGCTGGCCCTGGACAGGTAGCTCCAGCTTGTAAGTTGTCTTCATGACTGTAGTCGAATTGCGCTGACATTTGGTGTGGCAGATGAACCTGAACTGACCGATGGCGCCCCAACATCGATTCAAGTATTCACAAACAAGATGCGAGACGAAGAGTGCCTGCAAGTATCCGCCATTATAGATGCATGCTTGAGACATAAATAGATGAGACTAAAGTGACGAATGAATGAATTCTTTGCATTTGCGAAGTGCGAGCATCTAATGCATTTCAAATTTTGTGCTATGTGTACTTTGCACTCATGAATAAAGTGGAAATACGTAAACCTTGCGCGCAAAGGCTAGAGGACACCGGAAGGAGGGGAGGAGCGCTGTAATTGCAGATCACCATATTTATGTGTGTTCGGCAAAGTCGACTAGGTGGCCGGTTCTTAGATAGATGTGCACTCAATTGCCGTTGTAAAATTTATTCATCACGCATCAGGACATCAGATCTAAGCACAATCTATGCTTGTATTTTTGCTACCCACACACGTCCCTTGTCATCCCCTAGCGCGTCCAGCGCACACTTCCGGAACAGCCAGGCCTGCACTCCCAGCCACCATCCATGCCGATGCCGCTTTGAATCTAATCATACACCAAGGTAAAATATCCTCCATGCACATACGCCTTTGCTAGCCAGGTATACTCGAGCGCCTGCAATGCGTGCCGTGCTATCGTGAAACATGAAGAAATGTCGTTAGAATTTTGATGTACAGTCTGGTGGTAGAGATGATGTATTTAAGCGAAACCAAAGTACTCGCCTCCAGCAGTCATGGCGGTGTAGAGTGCTTTGCGGAGATCTTCGTAGGTTTCGTACTCGGGCAAATCGAGCTCTGTCATATTGTTAGCGTTGTTTGAGGCAATGGGAAGTAGAGAGGAGGCTTACGGTTGAAGCATGTATGACTAGATGGTAGACGATCTTTACTGCCAAAATCCCGATGGATGTTGAACTTGGAGAAGCCGTTCATACCCTCAAGTTCTTTGAAGCCGTTGAGAGGCACCTTGGAGGTACCGGTGACGAACTGTAGCAGCTTGGCCTGCTCTTCCTTCTCGAATGTGCGTACTGCACGCCAGAACCATTGGATCTGAGGTGAGGCGGCAGTATAGTTGTGGTATTCAGTATTGTTCTTCCAGTCGTCGACATTGATGTCAGGCAGACCAGAGATGAGCAGCTCCAGCTCTTGTTCGCTGAAGATGGACACGAGTGTTGAAGGTACAATGTCATGGAAGCCCTTGAGGAAGTGGTCGAGCTGTTCGCGTACCGAGCCAGTGAGACGATGTTCGGTGATGAGGCGGATGTACTCGTGCTTGTTGTCCTCGGTGACTGGAATCTCGCGGCCATTGTCGATGAGGTCCACGACCTGCATCTCACCAAAGGCTTCAACCTCTACGGAGAATGTCTCTGTGATGATGTCCGTGATGTCGTTGTTCAGCATCCACTCTAGTGACTTGTAGTACTCAAGGTCTAGTGTCTCCATATCTTTCAAGTTCACTTGCTTGCCCATGATCTGCTTGTATACGGCACGACTGAAATGGCAATCAAGAACACGGCCCTCATACAGTGCTTTACCAATGATGCGCCCGATAAATTTGAAGAACATGAGATGCTCAGGGTTGATGGAGCTGAGGCGGTTGGGGTGGAATGTTGTGCGATCAGACGCGACAGGAACAAAGAGGGCGTAGTCTGCATTGAACATCTGCCGCGAGATGACCTGGAACCACTCACGAGTCACACCACCGGCGTCGACACCCTCTTCACCGTGAAAGCGGATGCTGAGTTTTCCGTACTTCATTTCATCGGCGGACTTGAAGTAGAGAGACTTGAACGAGTCCAGGAAGACTTGATCTCGACGGACAGCAAGCTGTAGAGGCGGGTGGGGTTGGCGATCGCCGCTCCTGGAATGAAGCTTCCGATTGAAGTAGTTGCGCTTGTTGTCAAACTCTAACACCTTTGAATTCTTCACCAGGAGCGAGAAAGTGCCGCTCATGAGCTTGGGATTCTGGCGAACGAGATCGTTCAATATCTTGCGGTGCTCCTCTGTGAAGTTGAAGAATAGGTTTTCCATCTTGTTCTCTGGAGGCGGGCTTGACAGCGCAAACTCCTTGGGAAGCATCTTTGCCAGAGGGACGTCCTTGAGAGTGGTGTTCTTGCAGACCACCATCAGCGACTCAATCAGAGGTAGCAGCGTTGTGGCGATGTTGAGCATGTTTCCGCGTTGGCGTATGACCGTCAGACACCCACTCAGCTTCTCCCACAAAGGTGCAAAGGCGGCATCTTCGTACAGAGATAGCAATATGTCTTCCTTCTGAGCAGGCTCCAGAGCCTCCGCACGAGCTTCTGGCTTATCTTTACTGTCACGCGAGGGGTCAAAAAGGTAGTCCAGCGCGGTGAGTGCCCTCAACAGTTTGGTCTGATCCGAGCTTGCTGGTGAAAACTTGGCAAGCGCGATGCCTTGAACGTCTGTCGGTGAGTCTGCCTTCGAAACCTGCACGGTCAGGCTTGCAAGATCGTCCAATGTTGACCGCGCCAGGTCTTTGGCGATCCCAAGTAACTCGTGGCCAAATATTTCCTTTGCGCCAGGAATGGGCGACAAATTGCTGATGACGGACAGCGTCTCTTGGAACACCTTGCTGTTGCATTCTCGTGCAGCGAGGATTTTGGCAACGAGGCGCAAATTATTCTCAGGGATCTCCGGAGGTATCAGCGGACGATGCTTCTTGGACTTGTCGTCCTCGGGCTTAGGGTCCGTATCCTTCGCAGTGGTAGTGCTGCTTTCGCCTTCAGTGGCGGTGTCGGTTGGTTGGCCCGCGGCTTCTGAGGTAGCGGTCATTTCCGTATCTTGCACTCCAGTCTGAGGTTCCGAAGTGGAGGCAGACTGCTCAACGTTGGGTGCGACGTCGATAGCATGACCGGGTATATTTGCTGAATCGGTCTGTTTCTCTGCCTCATCTTTGGCCTTGTCCTTGTCACTCTTCAAGCTGTGCAAAGGCTGTGTGATGTGTTTGAGTAAGGCAGTTAGCTGTTCCATAATGGATGAGCTCTCGACGATGAGTTTGCGGTCTAACAAGGTAAGCAGTGCGTTCACTGGGAACCGTGTAGCCTTGGCGTCTTTGGTGTCTTTGGCTTTGCCTTTGCGGTTACCGCGATTCTTGAAGCCAACTCCAGTCTCATGCTCGGTAAGAAAGAACTGCCAGACGGCAGGGTTCTTGTCGCAAAGTTGTGTGAGCGTATTGAGACATTGCTGAACAACCATGAGCGGGGAGACATCCGCATTGATGGACAAGGATCCATTCTTTCGCGATAATTTGGGTGTCTTATCTGCAGGTTGCTGAGGCTGCTTTGCCCGAATTGATAGCTGAGCAAAGCTTCGTTCCACTGCATTGACATCTGCACTACCGTCTTGGAGGATGGAAAGTAGAATGCTAATGACCTCGGCGCGATTCTGACGGTTCTCGCACACGTAGCGCAGAATCGAGCTGAGACTGGTTTTCGCGCTGCCCTGCTGTGGGATAAACATAAGCCTTAATAGTGTTGCGACGCCTGCTTTGTCGAGCATTTGAACACAAGGTCGGGCCTTCTTCTTTTGTGTCGCATCTTCCTGTTGACCACGTCTGTCTCCACGACGGTAGCCATACTCATTGAACTGGTTTAGACGACGATCACCTCCATAAGCTCTAGCTTCGGCGGAGATTTCGGGCGGTAGCTGCCGCAACGTATCTTCATCAGTGTCCATGAGTACTGCCGCTCGCAAAGTAGGATCCAACGATGCAAGAAAGCTGGCAGTGTCCATGTCTTCAGCTTGTGGAGCGACACCACCCGTCTGATTGCGGCGACGGTTCTCTTCGCGTTCGCGGCGGCGTCTCTCTGCTGCTTCCTGCTGCAGAAGCTCCTCCCGGATCTCCGGAGGTAGAGCTGCTAGGAACTGTTCATCAATGTCCGTAGGTTGATCGCCAGATGGAGCAGCAGGCTCAGCGGCAGCTTGCTGTGGCTGTGCTTGCTGTTGTTGCTGCCTCTGGGCGCGTTCTTCTTGTCTGCGCTCGGCAACTTGCTGCATCAGGACCTCCTCTCGAAGCTCTTCTGGCAAGGCATCAAGATACTCCAGATCTATGCCCAAGTCGGTAATATCGTACTCGTGGCCTCTGAGTGTTGTCATAATCCGAGGACGAGTGTCTGCTGCAGGTTCAGACGGTTCCGCTGGCTCTTCAGGAGCTGTTGCACCTGCTTCCACACCCTCCATAGCTTGAGCTTGTGTTGCAGATGCAGTTTCATCCGCTGCCTGAGGTTCCGCAGTCTGCTCGTTTGCACGACTTGCTGCCTCGGCAGCTTCGCGCTCTTGTCGCTCACGCTCTTCCTTCTCTTTGGCTTCGCGTTCTTCACGCTCCTGCTGCTCTTTCAGCGCTTGTTCTTCTTTGGCCTTGCGAGCCGCCTCCGCCTCTCGCTCTTCCTGGCGCTTTTTGGCTGCCTCCATGGCAGGGGGCACCATGACCTTGAGAATTGAGTTGACGACGCGCGAACCCTTCTCGATAGCATTCGGGCCATAGAGCAATCTGGCTTCCTCTTGCCAACGCTGGCTGGTACTAGCCTTGACGAAAGTGATAGCCGAATGTGGATCTTCTCGCGCAGAACGTGACATTTCACGCATGCGATTGGCTTCGCGGCGCAATCCCGAATCGAACGGATGGGGTATACCCATGGGTACGCTGTTGAACGAGAGGTGCAATGCACCTCCAGCCTGATGCAATACCGGACCATTGCCTTGACTCATGGCGTTCAAAAGATTGCTGATAAACGAGACAGGACTGTCAGATGGGAAGACACGTGGCCCACGATTTTCGATGGCGTGGACCCAATCACTCATACCCTCATTTCTGAATGGACCTTCGGTACCGCGACCAGAGGAACGACCACCACGCTGAAGGAGAGGGTTGATGCCATCGTCTGTCACGCGTGGGCCGGCACCTGGACGATGGGAACGATATGCAGGTACCAGGATGCGGTCACCTGGTCCAGCTGGAAACATCCATGGGCTCAGTCGATGGCCATGACGATGTGCTGGTGGCGCGGGTTCATCCCAACCGCCTGTCCATGCGCCTAAGTCAGCCATGTCGTCGTCATCATCCTCGGCTTCAACGTCGTAGTGAATGTCCTCGTCGTCGAATTCGTCTCCTTCCTCATCATCTGTGTTACGAGTTAGCAAAGTCAAAGTAATATCAGTTCCCACAATGCACCTTCTTCTCCCATTTCCTCACCGAGGAATCCAGCCATGTGTCCTCTCTCGTCTATCATTCTAGTCCCGGATTCAAGAACAATCCCATCGAGTGCGCCAGGGGGAAGATTGCCTTCTCCATTAATGATGCCAAAGTCGCCTGCATCATCACTCCAGTCGTCCTCTTGATCATCACCGAGACTCGCGTTTTCGTCATCGCCCGTGACCTCTTCAAGTGCTTCTAAAGCCTCCATGGCTTCATCGTCGTCCATGTCATCGTCATCATCGTCATCATCCATATCGTCTTCATCATCGTCATCTTCCTCATCATCTCCCTCATCATCTTCAGAATTGTCGTCAGAATCCAAACCCATACCATCTTCGTCACCACCCATTTCTACTTCAATCTCGATGTCGCCAGGCATACCCTCGATCGGGCCGATATCTCCAAGATCCGGATCCATCATGTCCTCATCATCGTCAGAGACAACCTCATCTCTATCTCCTGGCTCGTCCTCGTCGTATTCCATGTCATCAGCGTACGCGTCATCATACATGATCTCCTCGCCATCCTCATCCTCGGAATCTTCTGATGCAGAGTCGTGTGGCATCTCAAACATGCCCAAAGTCGAATTACGGAAAAGGTCCGGGGTCTCTTCGCGCCCGGTGTCGACTAAATCGTCATCAGATGCTGTGGAAATCTCGTACTCGTCGGCCGAATCTGGTGCTGATGAAGTGTCGTAGTGCATGCTCAAGTCCATAGCGACATAAGTCAGCCACTTCATAGGCTTCAGAATGTACTTGACGACGCGCTTGGCGTTCGGGAAGTTGAGATCAATGTCTGAGATGGCAGTAGTCAATATGGTGATGAAGTTCTTCTCATACATGATCTTCGCCATTTGCTTGAGATTTGGTGTCAACTCAGCATTCTGAGTCAGCATCTCCCCATTGGAGCGCTGAGAGATCATGCGGGAGAAGATGTCAGAAATGCCGAGTAGTCGCGAATACTTCATGTCGAGAGGTTCGTCCCAAGCATTGGCGTCTCTAAAGGCCTTAAGGGCATGTTCCAGTACGAATTTGCGCACAAACAACAAGTCTTGCTCGGTTTCTGCGTACGGAGATTGCTGGGCCTCGGCCTTCGGAACAGTATATTCTCCAGTCTTGTGGCAAAGTGAGACAACGACGTCAATTGCACAATTCGAGGTGGCCAGTTTCTTTTTGAACGCAAGATCACCCTCGTGGTTGAGTGTGCCGACTGGCACCAGGGTGTTCAGCAGATAATTCAAGACACCCGAACGCGGTTTCGAGGGAGTCGTAGTGTAAGGATCAGCCTTCCTTGAGAAGCTGATGAACTCAATCTTGGTGCGGTTGTAACTCTGGAGTAGTTCTGCCAAGCACTTGAGAAGGAAGCATCGGTAGATATAAATGGGATGCGTATCGGCTTTGAACACCGGCTTTTCTGGCTTACTCAGTTCCGGAGTTGTGGTAACAGCTGATGATGACGCCTCTGGCGCCGCTTGCTCACTCCCTGAAACCTCGGGTGTTGCTTCACTTGTCTTCGCAGGCTCGGGCGTGTCGTCAATTTCCTTGTAGGCAAGCAGTTCACAAAGAAGGTAGTGTATAACTCCATCAGAGTTCTCGACCATCGGAACCTTGAGATCCGCGGTCTTGGTCCGCTCAAGGAGGGGTTTGGGTTCGATAGTCTCCTTCGGGCGGTCTTCTTCAACGGGGGCATCGACAGGCCCAGTTGTGGCTCCAGGCAAAGCGTCAGCTTCAGCAGATGGTGCCTCCTCCCTCTTGAGAATGAGCGTTTGTGGTCGTTGATTGGGATCGAAGCGCGCGAGCTGCAGCTTCTCATTGGTGACTTCTACGAAGAGTTCTGGAGCGCGGACAGCGTGTGCGTACATTTGACGAGTATAACCAGTCGTGTCAGTTTGCCTACGATCGCGCGACTCGAACATTTGTTGAATCTCCGTGCCCATGATTTGTCTGATCATCGCTTCGTCTTCAATCATGTGGCGAAGAACAATCATGAGAGCACTGCGCAGACCTTCATTGGTAATGCCCGCAAGCTGCTTGATCATCAAAAAGAGTCGCTGAATGTTGCGCTTCTCTGCCAGGCGAGCTGCAATCTTGCGCGTGCGGGTCAGCATGACCAGAACACGCGTCACTGACAAGGCAAGCGACTCGTCTTTGCTAATGCGCGGTAGCATCTCCATGATAGCATCAAACAGCTGGTTCTTCTCGTCAACACCAACAATAGGCTCCGGTAATTGGTCAGCTGAGATTGGCTCAGTAGAGTCTCCAGTAGGCGGCGTCCAGGTAATTTGTTGTGGCAACTGATCTTCCGCTAGTAGTTTCTCGATGATCAATAACACTTGGCCGATCCAAGGGGAAGACTCGTCGGCAGGTTGGTCAGGAAATATCTTCACGAAACCCAGCAACGTGACGAAGTTATCCTTCAACTCATCAACAATGACGTCGTAAAAGTCTTTCTCTTGAAGAACCAAAGCCAATAGATGCGCTGAGAGCAGAAATCTTTTTGCCCTGTGAGCGGAAGTCGTCTTCAGACTGTAGCGAGATCAGCGACTGAACAAGCGTAGTACCTATCTCATTGCGCATCGAGCCTGGATCGGCGGCCTTTGCAACCGCTGCGGTTATGAGATCCGCCAACTCGAACGTGACATCATCATGGGAGTTGAGGATGTCAAGAGAACGGTCAACTAGGGTTTGCCGAAGCTCAGTTCGAGCCTTGTCGAGATCTTCCAGGGCGACAGCCTCTGCCATGTTTCCAGCACGCATTCTCTTTTGATACGCCAGAGCATCATGTGGCGTAGGGCCTGAAGCATCTGTTCGACTGTCGGGCACAGGCGTTCCAGAAGGTTCACCTGTCTCGTCTTGTGAACTGACGTCCTCCATCTCAATTGATTGAGTGTCTGGAGCTTCCGACCCCTCATCATCCTGGGTGTTATCGCTCGAGGACATGCTGACACTGTCCGTTGGCTCAGGCACAACAACTTCGGCTCGGCTTGGTGAGGACGATGGCGGCCCACGCGCTTCGAGTTCGTACTGCGGAATCGGATTTCGCGAAGACTGTGGACGAGCCTGGTTTTGGCAGTACTCACGCGCCATGTTGAGATTGTCGCAACAACGGTACAGAGCCTCCTCGGCCAAGCTCTCGGAAAAGTCGGCGTCCTTCAGTTGCTGTATGTATCCCGCGTTGCGCGGTGTCCAAGGCTTGATGATAGGTTTGCTGCGCTTCGGAATCTTGTCGGCAGTCGCATAGGCACCGTGCTCCCCATCACAGTCTAGAACAGACTTCAGAATGTTGATGGAAGTCTTCACAATGGACGTAGTTGCCTTGTCCATCAGATCTGAATTCCATATCTTCTCGACTGGCTTGATAACAGCGAAGCGAAGCTCGACCAGGAACTGTGCAGTCGAGAAATAATCTGCGCGCTCTCGGTCTCTATCTGGCCGACTCTGCATCGTGGAGGTTTGCTGTGACTCTCCAATGATCTTGAAGCTTGTGATTTGCGAATAGAACGCTAAGATGATCTTTATACCGCCGAGGGACAAGTTGAGCAAGCGCTGGGACTCCTCGTTTGCATCTTCACCCTGCTTTTGAGTGACCTCAAGCGCAGATTGATAGAACTTGCCTAATATGTCGCCCAAAACTTCAAAGCCACCCAAGTTTCGGAAGGAAACTAGAAGTAGGGTCAAAGCTTGCGGGCGGTCCAGGTTCGCATCGATCATAAGCTGTGACAAAGATGTAAGGATGACTACCCAGTAGGCGTAGCGATCCTCGGCAGAATCCGACTCTTGCGGTCCACGATACTGCAGCTGATCAATCACGGCTTGCGCAAGCTGGTCCGAAACGACTGTTGCACATTGTCGTTGGTATGCTTCGAGACTGCGACGAAACAAGAGGAGTTTTCCAAGGGACTGGCAAAAGGGCGCAATCTCTGTTGGAATCTTGCTCAGCAAGTTCCGAAGAATTTGAGTGTTCTTGAACTGTGCGCTCTCCTGGCTCAGAACAGAAGTTTTCGCAACCGAAGGTTCGGGCGCAGCTGCATCGCCACTGCTAGAGTCTTCCGTGGTCGATGGCGCAGCAGTCTCAGATGGTCTATCACTGGTGCCCATACGGAAGACCAGGTCGGCTTCAGCATTGCCAAAACCTGTACTTTTGACACGCGTCGCTTTCTCCCATTCAGCAGGCATATTCCTCTGCAGAGAAAGCTCTTCCCAGACACAGCTCCTGTGAAGCTTCCCGAGACTGTACAACCAAGCACGCGTACATGTCCGCGAGGTTGACTTGACTGGACAGACTGTGTGCTCCGCGCGCGTTGTACATCTGACTCTGGAAGGTCAAGGTCATAGCACCGACAAGTGTGAACGCAGATACTAACGATTTGACGTATTCGGTTCCGTTATGCAAGTTGCCATCATCCCGTGCTGTGCCAGCACTGGTGAAGGGCGCGAAGAAAGCCTGAGCTCCTGTGTGATCAAGCATAGGTTCTAGATGTTCCAAGGCTTGTTGAGTACGCTTGATCAATGAAGGTACAGCAATGTGTGGCTTTTGCTCAACCAATACTTGCACAACTCTGCTGAACTCCTCAGTCATGCTGCGACTCTCATTAGACCTCGGGTCCAGGCAAGCGAGACTGGAAATGTCCAGAATAGACTCTACGCCATTGGCCTCGATGTACGCGCTACACATGGCATGGTTCGAGAAGAAGCCAGAGAGAAAACGGCAAAGGACGCGGATGTATTGGCCAGTAGTGGGGCCCTTGGTGCTATCCTCTGTCTCGGTGACTTGTTCGGCGGTCACTGCTTCGATGACAGAGCCGGTGGTTGCTTCTTCATCGGTGTCTTGCATCACGATATCATTACCTGTCGCATCGGGTTGTGGTACGATTCGACGATGCGTTTGTGATCCAGACAGAGCTTGGCGACCACCAGCAACAATCAATTGTCCTTCGGCGGTTTCGACCCAGAGTTTGGCACCGATGCCTTCTTTCTCTGCTCTTTCGGCACATAGGTGCACGACACGTGCAATTAATTCGCTCAAGCAGGAGAGAACACGGGCTTTCAGTGGCGGGTGGTGACGGACAAGTTCGTCGAAAGAGTTTCCGATCATGGTGGGCATCTCCGTGTCTGCATCAAGCGCTTTGATGTGCTCTGGGCTCTCAAAGATCTCGAAGAATCGCTTCAGTGCAGTCGAGGATTGGAACAATTTCATGCCAGATTCTGCCAAGCAAATGGCGCCAAATGCGGGAGGAAGAGTTGATATAGCTTCAGCTACTGGAAGAATCCCAGCGGCCAAAGGCTCTCCAGGCACCCGCGGAGCATACGTGCGATTCGGAACGGTGTCTGAATGGCCGTTGTTCTCCTCAAGAGCCTCTGGTGATTCTGCTGCGGGTTCACCAGCTACACTCTCCAAGAAGGCTGCACTCAAATTGGCTTCAGCAATGACTTGATAACTCGTTGGCTCATTATGAATGAAACTGGTCAAGATGAGGACGGCGGTACTCCATACTGTCGAACCATAGATGCGCGCATTGGAGAGAACAGTTCGCAGCCCCGTCAGCAGCTGTGCCGAGTCAATCAAAGTCCGCATAAGACGATCATTGTTGGTGCCAGTGTGGCCCATCATGTGGTTCAAAAACTTGAAGAGCCATCGAAGTGTCTGCTGATGATAGAAGGGGACTTGATAGTCCGTCAATTGTCGTCTTATACTCTTGGGGCATGCCTTTGTTATCCTCTGCGAGCTTTTTGGCAATGTCGACCTCATACTGCATCATATCGGCGATGATGTCAAGACCCTTGGCGTTGACCAGAGCTTGGAAGGCATCCCGCAAATTGTATACAAAAGTGTCGAGGAAATTTGAGGATTTTGGGATGGTTGCGTTCAGCCTTCTCCGTGCGTAGCTTGAGAGCCTCGACCAGAATCTCGAGTAAGCCTGCAGAGACCATACCTTCCCCAGTCCGTTGTTGAGAAACTGGAAGTGTGTTGAGCAAGGAGAACAAAGCATCACGCCATTGATCTTCTTCTAGGTAGTCCGCAGCAGGCGTCTCTGTACCCAGACCAGCTACAAGCTTGCGCACCAGATAGAAGAGCACACCATGGTTAACGTTGACACTCAAAGCGGTACAGATGTCAGCACCTTTGCCCTTGTGTTTGGCCAAGGCCTCTAAAGCGCCGAGGACGAATGTTTGCAGCTCGGTGGAGATGCCACGCTCTCCATTACTGGGTGGATGTACCAATTCAGAGAGCTGGTATGCCAGTTGCAGACGACGTGGCTCGTCGGCATCTTGCTGACCGACCTTGGCATGGAACTCTTTCTCACCGTACACGTAACCAGAATTGGCAATAGCGAGCATGCGAAGGGCGATTGCGTCGTCACGCCCCGTCTTCCCAGCAGCAAGCAATTTGGCAGTTCGGACTTTGTGTAGAAATTCGTAGTGCACGCTGTCGGGCAGATCGGCAAGTCCCTGTTTGATGAGCTGGTGCAGATCGCTACTTGAAACCTTCTCGGCGGATAATTCGAACGTCTTCGGGCCTGTAGTCTTGCTGCTGGGATTGCCAGGTGTGAATGCAGGTGTTGTAGGGGAGTCAGTCGTGGGCGCCGATTGAGGCTGGCGAGGGGTGCGGTTCGGGCCCATGTTTGACGTTCTTCGGATGGGTGTTGGTGTAGTTGGCGGATCTGTGGCTGTTGGCTTTGAGGTGGCCTCCTCGGTTGCCGGTGTTGGCTCGTAGTATGAGAGAGCGACGCCTCCAAACTCCTGCTTGAGAGTGGAATCGGGTAAAGCATACAGCCCGACCAGGTTGCTGGGGCTTATCCTCTCGGTATCGCCTCGCCGATCAGCGATCTTGTCTTTGCCCTTGCCTGATGGTGTACCAAAAATCGGCGCTGACACTGCGGGGCCCTTGGAGAATGGAGCAGAGAGCTTCTGGACCTTGTCGAGGTTGATGTTGTAGTGACTTGCAAGCAACGAGAGGTGGAGGTTGGCGGATCCCAGTCGCTGCCGAGCTGCACTAAAGCGCTGAGCGAGACGATGACCGAGGCGAAGGGTGGCTTTGAGTAGGGGGGTCGATGTGGAGTTGAGCAGCTTATCTAGACGCTCGCTGCTGGCGTACAGGCTGCGGTTGCCACAGTTCTCTAGCAGCATGCGCGTGAAGTTGAGAACGTTCTCGACCAACTCACGATCTCCATCTTGCGACACGTGCAGGGTGTCTAGAATGGCATCTGTAGTTGTCTGGTCCGAGCTTGTGCTACCCTCCTCTGCGTCGCCTTTCAGCAGTAACCGGCGCCCGAAAGGCTGTGTCTGAGGCCCATCTACCAGGCCATATTCCTGATTGAAAAGCTCCAGTATGCGGTCGAAGCGATTCAGCACGGGTATCCAGTGGTATGCGTCACCGCGGGGGAACGGCCAGTGTTTTGGGAACGAGGCAAGATGTGCAGGCAGTTGGTAGAGCGGTATGGACTCTGTGGCTCGTACGAATTCAGCTATCATCGACGACTGCGGCTGTTAGTGGCGACATGGCAGATGAAAAGGTGGTTTGCCTACCAGAGTGGACTCATGCCGCGATGTAGCCTGCTTCTTGATCTTCATGTTTGCGCCGGGCGCTCGGAAGGCGGACTTTTCTCACATGCAGTCCTTTTACTGTATTCTATGATGACGTGTGGCGAGTTGACAGTATGTGGTTCGTCAATGTCCGCGCAGTAGTGAGAGTTGTCGTGATACAGGCTGCGACTACCTTTTCTAGAAACGACAAATGTTCAGAAAAGGCGCTGGGTCGATCGTAGAGCGTGCTTTGCCGTTTCGGGGCTGGCTATCTCACGTGCTACCCAGAGGAGACACAGCGGGGTAGAGAATGTCCAAGGAGCTGTGGTTGCGGAAGATAATGTGTAAAGCGGCGTGGTGGAGTGAGGCGCTGCCGAAAGCCACGGTGCAGGCGTGGACTATTCAAGCTAGCGAATCGTCTTGAGCGGGCGGGGTGTGCTCAGAGACGAAATGTGGTGAGGGTCGGTGTGGCGATGTGGGGTGGAGGTGAGTTTGTTGCTGCAGCTCTGAGCTCTCAGGCAGTTTCGCGATGATGGAGGAAGGTGACGCTAAAGCCGCCTTGGCGCTACGATATCACGAATCGACGCGCTTTGGACACCGCTTCTCCGCCGGTCAGAGCAAATCTGCGAAGAATGATGTTCACACCTTTCCAGAATGTTCCAATCGGCAATGAGGAGAATATGGCTCATGTTTGTATTGCCTGGAGTCCTAATGTCCAGCATCAAGCACCTCCGAAAGGCTTCATGTCTCCAATTTGGGCAGGAACTTGCACTCTTATGATATCGCGTCAACATTATAAAAGCGTCCTGTGAAGCAGGCACAACATCAAATAAATATAGCGTTGGCACATGGAACATTACAATTGCCGGTAGGCCAAAGTCCGAAGGTTTTACTCAAGATATCATCACCAAGTCAGCTACAAGCACTCCCCCTCACCACCCTCTTGTCCCACTCGCTGTCTCTTCCTCGCCCTTCCCTTCTGCCAGCCTGACCGTCTCCTCCAGGACCAGCAAATCCCTTTCAATCATCTCCGCCCAGTTTTGGATATCCCCGACCTCATTCAGCTTCTTGGTGCCACCGTTCAGCAGTTTCTCCCACTGCGCGCTCTCCTTTGCCAGCGCAGCCGTCTGCTTCGCGAGCTCCTTCTCTTGCTTAGATATAGCTGCGCTGTTGGCGTGGAGATCCGCTGTGCGGGTCCGCAGCTCATTGTCAACAGATGCGCCAACGGAGGCGAGGGAGGCGGTGACGGCGGCGCGGGCTTCGGAAGTGCGGCGAGCTGCATCGGCTGAGGTAGGAGAGGACATTGTTGGTATGGATTGTGTTCTTGTTATTTTGGCTTTGCTGAGGTTCAGTTCTGATAGATGCTAGAGACTTGTAGTGCATAAAGTGTCTTGCATCTTGGACAGTAGCCGCAGGTCATGAGGAGCTGCAGAGCTCCACCTCACTCATAGCGCATGCACCTCCATGCTCCACTGGTCTCTCTGCATGCTTCAGCCCGACTACATTCTTGGACATGACTGGTGCGGAAGATATCAAGCGTTAACCCCGGGCCTGGGTCGGACAATTGCATGATGGTGTAACGGACGCAAACATGAGTGGCCCAAAATGGGATGCTATCAGTTAGCAAGACGCGGCCCTTGGTGTGATTTGGCCTGGATGTTTTTACGTGTACGACAAACGATGGACACGTCGTGCAAGCTATGGCGTGACGTCCAGAGCCAGTGAGGGGTAGCTCCACGCTTCAAAGTTACCTGCTGGAGCTAGTGAACGGGAACTAGATGACACGGGGCTGTCATTTTAGGGCCACGATAGTCTCGAAGTGTGCTCGGATATGGGTCTCTGGTGGAATGGTTTGAGTGAACCATTTTGCGGTGACCAAATTGCTATGGCGTGATGTAGATAACCTCAATTCAACCGCGTTTAATTCAAAGTAGTGTTTTCATGGCACGCATGAAATATTGTGCATCACCTGTAATAACAAGCTTGAGGTAGTCGAGAACCTGGAGGTACAATAAAAAATACGAGTCGTTTTTGGTCTGGTTTTGTAGTCGAACTTGGGCTCTGACGATGTATCAAAGCGGGGTACAAACTCAGAAGGCAAGTATACCCGAGTCCTGCGCTAACGCTTGCCCTCACTGCCTCCTTTTTTACTCATCACCATCCCATCCTCGACGCCAACTCGTCGATGACATTAGCTGTGACAGATGGTCTACATATATGGGTGGAAGCAGATTGACGCCGTCACGGGCGTCGCAGTTTAGCAAGTGGCGGCATATCGTATGTTCATTGATCTCGAAGTTTTCAAGTACCGTCCAGGATTCTCAATGTAGCTATAGCAATAATCGAACAAATCAAGGTTTGTTGTTGCAATGATGCATTGCACAGGAGCAATGGCATCACTGTCATGGCTGGCCATGCAGGGAAGGACTGCCACATAAGATTGCAATAGCAATGCACTCAGTTCTCTTCATGGCGGTTTACGAATTGGACCTAGAATAAGCAGTGACCCTGAAACATCATGCTAAAGTCACCTATGGTAAGCATCTTCTGGTGCCATCACGTCGACGCTGCAGATCAGCGTTAGATCACGCACACCCAGGATCCCTCAACGTCTCGCATTTCTCCTTTCGCATTATTGCTTTTCGATTGCTAAATTCAGCCTCGATAGGGCCTTTCGAGGTGCGACACCAAGACATTTCTTTGCGGTTCGGTGTTGGAAGTAATGTTGGTGCTAGGTAGAAGTGCCGAGTTGAGCAAAGCGCGAAATCTCCGAACGGCACAGTCGCTAAACTCTTGACCGCTGTTTCCAACGCCCTCCAGCCTATGTGCAACAACATACGCCACATACAAACTGACAACATACACACAGTCATCGCGTCTCCCGGTGAGGAATAACCAGTGCCTGTATTGCCAAATGACGGGGAATGCGGTTGACCCGGCACTTCCCCAAGCTCACGGTTATGGTTCACGACTACGCCATATCTCGCCCCACTAATTAGACTTCTCCGATTTGACCTGCCTGCTCCCGTCACGTAAAACTTACCGAAGGAACTTAGTCAATCGAGTTTGATGCAGGTCGATAAGACTACCGCAATGCACGCATTCTATCACACTTCCAATCCGATCGCCCATCGTCAATCAGGCCTAGAGTGATGTACTGCAGTGCCTTATCGGTGCTTCTCTGCATACAGCAATTCGCTATGGTAGGTTAATAAGTCCGGGACTATACCGGTTGAAGGCTGCCCAGTTGTTGCGTTTGTGGTGTAAACTGTACTGTCATACCACTCTATCGGCACCCACCCGGTTGTGGTCCTTTTTTCGCATGTACAGTGTGCTGTTCGGCTTCCGTTTCGAGCCCCATGGGTTCCTTTGCCACAATCTCATATTCGTATATTGGGCAACTCTGGGCCCTGAGAGCTTCCCTCACGAAGAGCGACCTTCAACATGGCCAACGACACAAACAAGCCCCAGTCATGGCTGTCTAGCCTCTTCCGGACATCAAAGTCTTCGGAAGCTGGTATGTCCCCCGATGAACGCACATCACTTCTACCGCAAGCACACCACGAAGAATGGTCCACTGGCGAGACATATGAGCTAGAGGATGGAAATGCCTCCAACTTCCAGCTCGTCTCGCGAGAGTTCTGGGTAGTATTCAAAGGTTCATTACCCGTAATCGTTGCCTATGCCCTCCAGAATTCCCTTCAAACAATCTCGGTTTTGATCGTTGGACGTCTATCGCCAGAAGCCCTTGCAACAGCTGCCTTTTCCTACATGTTCGCGATGGCTACCGGCTGGCTTATTGCGCTAGGAGGCACAACGGCAATCGACACACTCGCCTCAGCAAGCTTCACTGGAAGCAAGAACCGGCACGACTTGGGCATTATTCTCCAACGGGCGTTTATTGTTTTATCTCTATTCTACATACCTGTAGCCATCCTTTGGTTCTGTTCCGCACCACTGTTCAAAGCCCTAGGACAGGAAGACTACATCGCCCGCGATTCAGCGAGGTTTCTCTCCGTCCTTGCACCTGGTGGACTTGGCTATATCTTTTTTGAGGCCTTGAAGAAGTACTTGCAAGCTCAAGGTACGTTGTGCAATAAGAGAGCTCAAAGCATTCACTGACCATGACAGAAATCATGCGGCCTGGAACCTATGTCCTCCTGATCACGTCGCCATTAAGCGCGGGCCTCAACTACCTCTTCGTATACACATTCAAGATGGGTCTGCTCGGTGCACCACTTGCGACCGGTATAGCTTACTGGGCATCGTTCCTTTTGCTTCTCGCTTATGCACGTTTTGTGGACGGTTGGGATTGCTGGGGCGGTTGGGACCGCAAGTGCTTCCAAAACATGTGGACATTCGCACGCCTCGCTTTCCTCGGTGTCATCCACGTAGGCACAGAATGGTGGGCTTTTGAGATTGTCGCTCTGGTGGCAGGCAAGCTCGGAACAATACCGCTGGCAGCGCAAAGTGTCATTATGACTACCGACCAAGTCATGAACACAATTCCGTTTGGTGTAGGAGTTGCAACATCCTCGCGGGTGGGCAATCTCTTGGGTGCGCGTAACGCAAAGGGCGCGGCACGAGCAGCAAACACTGCAGCTGTACTCAGCATGCTACTAGGAGCTCTGGTCCTCGCTGTACTGATGGGTGTCAAAGACTTCTACGCCAAAATCTTCAACGACGATGTCGAAGTCATTCGGCTGACTGCTCAAGTCATGCCATATGTCGCATTGTTTCAGATTGCAGATGGTCTCAATGGCAGCTGTGGCGGAGCACTCAGAGGAATGGGCAGACAGCACATTGGAGCCACCGTCAACATTGTGAGCTACTACTGCGGAGCTTTACCCTTGGGCATATGGCTCGCTTTCCACGGTTGGGGTCTTGGAGGCCTATGGGTGGGCCAATGTATCGCACTTTATCTGGTCGGCTTTGCCGAATGGGCAATCGTTGCATGGAGTAATTGGGATTACCAGGTGAAAAAGGCTTTTGATAGGATGGATTCAGATGACAGGGCAGAACAAGGTGTTCCAGAAGTCGACGCTCCTCACAATTGAGCTGCGGGCTCGGGCTCATTCAGTGGCGAAAATATACTAGCAAAGACGTTTAGACGACTGTGTGTGTAAATAGAGATAGATAGCTATCCGACCGGAATATGCATCCGCTGTAAAATACTGCCTAAAATGCGTTAGCGGCGCATTAGCTCGAAGCTGTATCTTGACCCCGGTCATGCATTTCAACCTCACCTTGCATCTTCTCCGCCTTGAGATCTCCCCACGCTCCGAATCGATTATTCGATGACATGTCATGCAGATGCATATTACAGCAACCAAGGCGAACCTTGTCATGAATGCTCACCAACTGTCAATGACAGCAGACTGCCTGTCCGGCGAGCAAGACCCTCGTCGAACCATCGCCCAAGACAAGTCCTGGGTTCAGCCGTTGTTCGCAGCCGATGACGAGGAACCGATTTCTTGAGATCGTCCGAGGTGTCAATCTTCGAGTAACGAAACGTAAGAATGCCTCGGAAGCGTGCTCCCTGTAGCAAGTCCACTACTGCCGTCATGCACTGCCTCAGATAAGCTGGAGCGACACGACGATGAATTGCGACATTACGGCATGTCTATTTACCGTTCTATTGGCTTGACTCACGTCCTTCACTCATCCGATCCCCGTCATCATACATGGCGGGGTATGACCGGAGTTGTTCAGTGACAACTCGATAATCCTTGTATGGTGCGGCCATCAAGAAGTACGGTGAATTGTTGCACCTTGAACGCCATCAAGGTACTTCTAGATACTAGCATAAGAGTTTAAGACGTCTCTGACAACCTCATTACCACAATGTGACCTCTGGCTCTTCCAAGTCTTCCATCCCCGCAACAGCTTTCAGCCCAAAAACTAATCCAAAGACGTTTCGGTCCGGAGTCTGGGGCTCTCCAAGACCTCCTAACCGATTGGAGGCAATCCATCACCGCACCTGCATACGACGTAATCGACCGGGGTAGCTCCAAGCTGTTTACCTAAAAGGCGTTTACCTAACGGCAGCTCGTCAACATGATGGCTGATACAGAGTTGCTCGAGGTTTCCGCAGTTATTTATCGTCCCTTCCCGGATCTCCAGCTCGTCTTCCTTTCCATACTGCTTGTATTCTTCTTCCTTCAATTCGAATTGCAGCGAAAATGAAGGTCTCTTCCACAATCCTCGGCTTTGCGGCGGCTGTTGCTGCTCATGGCAACCACGGTGTTGACCAGGAGCCATTGAATGGTCCACATGAGGACCTTTGGTACAACGTCCTTCCAGGCGACGGCGGTACTCAGGTATGATTGCAATCCTAGAGAGTTGCGACGGGAATTGACCCCCTTCTAGGCGGACTCTGTCTTCTCTGGTATTTCCACGTTCGGTCGCCTTCCATACAGCCCGTGCTTGAACACACATGCGAGCTACGACATCGCATTCATTGGTATGCATTGATGCAGTAAAAAAAGAGCGCATAGATTGACAGTGCTACAGGCGCTCCCTTTGACACTGGCACATCGTACCGTCCAGGAGCCCGCTTTGGGCCGAGCGGCATCAGGCAAGGTTCTCGCCGCCTCAATCTTTAGTACGTCCCCTCAAAGCAACCAATTGCTTACTTTTGGTTTGAGTACAAAGGCTCACGCAGAGTCGGATTTAGCGGTGGATACAATGTCCCACTCAAGGCGAACCCGTTCAACTCTTGGGCTAAGGTCATTGACTGTGGTGACATCCCAGTTACATCGTAAGTTCTCAACGTTTCAACAGTTTGCGAATGAGCTGATCGTCCAATAGATACGACAACGCCTACGCGCTGCAGCAGATCGAAGAAGGCCATAACCTTCTCTTGAGCCGCGCACCACACACCGATGCTCAAAAGCCCGGCCCATCCAAGAAGGGCAAGACATTACCCCGTCTGATCACCCTTGGTGGTGACCACACAATTACTCTGCCGTTGTTGCGCTCCATCAACCGGTAAGGTACCCGAGCAGATACTGTGCTCGGAACGACCACTAATATGAACACTAGCGAGTATGGCCCAGTCAGTGTGATCCACTTCGACAGCCATCTGTGAGTTGCTCCATAACGGCTATTGATCTATAGCATCTGATGAAAATATTAGTGACACCTGGAAGCCCAAGGTCTTCGGCGGCTCTCCCAGTGAGCAAGCCGCTATCAACCACGGAACCTACTTCTTCCACGCTGCTCAGGAAGGCCTCCTTGCCAACGACTCCAACATCCACGCCGGAATCCGCACGACGCTGTCTGGTCCTTCCGACTACGAGAACGATGGCTACTGTGGGTTTGAGATTGTCGAAGCCAGGGAGGTTGACAAGATCGGCACCGATGGTATCATCAAGAAAATTAGGGACAGGGTTGGTACCACTAAGCCCGTATACCTGAGTATTGACATTGATACGCTTGACCCTGCTTGTAAGTTTGCATCGCTTCGACGTCCACAAACGTGTCACTGACTCTCGTGAACAGTCGCCCCTGCTACCGGTACCCCAGAAACCGGCGGCTGGACTACACGTGAGCTCCGCACCATCATACGCGGTCTCGAGGGCATCAACTTGATCGCTGCCGACATTGTTGAAGTCGCGCCTGCGTACGATACTAACGCCGAGCTGACGACCATGGCTGCTGCTGTAAGTGATAAAAGAAAAGCGATTGAGGGTATGCTGACGATGTCTAGGATACTTTGTATGAGGTTATGACTTTGATGGTCATGAAGGGTCCACTCAGTGCAATGGGATCGGGAAAGAAGGAGACGATTGAGCTATGAATGCTCAGCTCGAATCCTGAACTCCCAGAATGAGGCATCATGAGTTGTAGATCAACAGGCGCCATCGAATAGCAGGCGAGTACTATGTAGAGTAGAAGAATTGCAATGTAACGACTTTGATGAAGACACCTCGTGCCATATACAATGACATCTCCCTTGCAACTCCAGTTGTCTCAGACACAG